TGAGAAATATGGATTGAAAACAAAATCAACAAAAAAAAAATTCAAAATCATGAGTTCCAATCTGAACGATCTCAAAATATATGTGTAGACACATGTTCTAAAAAGAAAAGAAAAAGCGTGCTTAATTTCATTAATTTTCGTTGAACAGAGGACAAGACTGATGGGTTTCTATAGGTCTAATTCGGAAACCCAAATCTCAAGCGGATATTTTTTCATATGGTAATTGCATGTACAAGAATAATCAATAACTTGTGTTTTATTTGGAGAATGATGAAAGGATTAATAAACAATGTAAGAAACCAATTTAACAATTCAGAGCATTTGATTAAAGGATTAAACTGAATAAAGAAAACAAAATTTGAAAGACTCTAATTCAGTTTTGTCCTAATGTCCCGTACGATACATAAAAAGAGAAGAGAGAGAGAGACTGAGTCTTCTCCTTGTGAAATAGAGTCTTCTTCTCTACAAATACTTGCTTTTGCATCTCTCCGACAGTTTCATCTCTCTTAAACGGTTTGAAATCAAAGGAAAAGAAGAAATGGCCATGAAAAGAGTTTTTGAGTGTTTCATCTGTGGGGTTCGTTATGAGATGAAGATGATGAATGAGAAGAATGTTGAGAGTTTCTCCTGGAAGGAGATGGGTGGTGTGGGTGCAAGTGATGTTGCCAAGCTTTTGCAACCAACCAAGCCGTCTTTGGTTGAAGAAGTGGAGGAAGGGAAGCTTAGAGTCTTCGATGGGAAGTACAAGCATGATTTTGTGATGGAAAAGTGGAGATACAAGTACATTAGGGATTTGAACCTCTTTGTGTATGAATTTTCTTGGGGGTGTTTTCAAAAGATGGAAGAAGATGTTGCCAAGTTTGATTGGAAGAAGATGGGAGACGTGGGTGCTCAAGAGGTTGCAAAGGTTCTCAAAGCACCGAGCCTCCAAAATCAAACAAAAAAAAAAGAAAATGTGCCCATAAATTACACTTGTCATTTCTCTTTTATCATTGATTGCTTAGTATGGAAAACTTTAAAAATGTGGAATTATCTTGGTAGAGTAGAGAACATAAAAAATTAAATCCTTTATCCAAAAAAGAGAACATAACAGCCTACCAAAATAAAAAAAAGAGAACATAACAAATTCGCTTAGAAAACGTTTTTGTTGGAGAACTAGTGATAATTTATAAAAGAGATGGACTTGTAAGCAAATTCATGTAGATAACCCCTTTTGAAAAGCTAGGTTCATCACAAATAATCTGATAATTGATAAAATAATAAATAATTATCTTAAATCCTAGATTTGATCTAAAATCCGGATTTTAAGGTCTGTATTTAAGAGAGAAGAACATAAGCACCGAAAACTTTAACTAAAATGACCATTTTAATACTGATGTTACTTATATAAACTAGTTTAAATTTAGAAAACTGTATACTGTATAAAATAGAAAATTCCTTTTTTGTTATCAATCAAAAATAAATGACATATATTATGTGACGCACATATCACTTGTATAAAATCGTCAAAGAGTAGGCAAGGCGTGAGAGTAAAAACCCTAAATTCTCTTTGAAACAAATGGCGACAATATCTGACCTTTCGCATGATTTGGTAGAAGAGATACTCTATAAGCTTCCAATAACTTCTCTAGGAGCAGTGAGATCAACCAGCAACGAATGGAACCATTTATCCAAAAACGATATTCTATGCAAAACAGAAACAAAACAGCAGTTTATTGGCTTCTTGACGAAGGAGCATAGGCTTTGTTCAATGAGATTCAGTCTCCATGGAGACCTCAGCAAAGAAAGTGAAGAGTTTGTGGATCCATTTATCAAGCCGAGATATCTAAAGTCTTTCATTGCGATGGTCTATTGTTATGCTGCCTCACCAAGGAGGACAGAGTCGTGGTTTGGAACCCGTACTTGGGACAAACCAAATGGATCGAACCCATCAAGTCTTACCAAATATCCGACATCACGTATGCTCTCGGATACGTGGACGACAAGAAGAAGCGTAACCACAAGATCTTGAGGTTTTTTAACCATTTCCAGTTCGTGAAAAACGTTTACGGGTACGAGATCTTCGATGTTGAATCCAACTCATGGAAGGTTCTTGATATCAGACGTTCCTATTGGAATATTAGGTTTCATCCACATGGTGTGCCAGTGAAGGGAAATGCTTACTTTCTTGCTAAAGGAGGAGAAGTCTATCTAGTGTGTTTTGATTTTGCAAGAGAGAGATTTGGACCATTTCATCCCCTGCCGTTTCACTCTCATCCTTTACATTCTGTGACTCTATCCTGCGTTAGAGAAGAGCAGCTTGCCGTGTTGTTTCAACCCTTGAAGCTGCCTGTGATAGAGATATGGGTGACAGCTAAGATTGATGAGCCCAATCCGATGCAGTGGAAGAAGTTCTTGAAAGTTGATATATCTGGATTTAGATTACATTACTTTGGATGTTTCTTCATTGACCAAGAGAAGAAAGTCGCTGTGGATTTTGAACGCAGCATAGCTCATATCATAGGAGACAAGGGATTCTTGAGAAAAGTGGATATCGGAGATGCTGCGAACCTTGAAGTTGTGCGTTATTGTCGCTCTCTTGTGTGCTCTTATGTTCCAAGTTTGGTGCAAATCAAGCAAGGCCGAGATTAGTATGTTTAATTATTTTTTAAAATACCTTATTTATTTATATTTGCATCATCTCCTTTTCATTCATTGACTCTATGTTTTCTATTGTTACAAGACTTGGTTTATTATGAATTTGTTTCTATCATACAATATTCGATTTTTTTTTTGTCGTATTGAAGACTTGACAAAAAGCTTTCTCCTTGTAGTTGTGATGTTGAGAATTTCATCTACACCATGATAGTTTAACCATAGTTGTTACATCTTACATTGTGATTAAAGAAAACAGATCAGAGACTTCTTTGAAGTGTTTATTCATAGAAGAAGCTTAGTGATATTATTGATAGCCCGACTGACATTCTTCACTTGGATGGTTTCATTGATGTTTCTTTTCAAGTGGTTATTATATTAACAAGATCCCCCTCTTAAGAGAACCAGAAATTTATAAACCCAAAGAAAATAGATTTGCCAAAAATGATTTTATAGCGAGAATTAGACACGACATAATTTGTTTTTCTTCTTAACAAAATTCAGTTCAATTATTCTTGTTTCATTTTCCTTTCTCACAATAAAAGTGGAGAATTGTTGTCAAAAACTCTCCATTGACACTTGTCCAAAGCGGAAAAAAAACCTTACTCCATCGAGAAAAATTCCCTACCCACATGAGTTGATTTGAGTAACCACCAGTTTCAAATAGGCAAAATTGAAAAATTATGTTCTTATGAAAGAACAACCTTAGGCTACTGATGAATCTTGCAGACATTTAGGACAGTTGAAGGTGAAACCGTAGTCTGCAAGTAATCCTTCACGTTACAAAAAGTAGAAAGTTTATGGGGCTTTGACGTTTATGGAATATAGTTAATTTGAAGATCGGAAAACTTACTTGGTGGGCAAGTTCATTCCTCTCTACTAATGGAGCAAATATTGGATTAGGGTTTTTCTGTTTTTTATTTTTGCATTAAGCAAAGAAACATCATTCCTATTCATGTCTCTTCTTCTCAGCCGGCGGCTGACGATGGTAAGAAGAAAAGCATCTCTTCTTGGTCATGTTTTCTCCAATGGCTTCTCAACTTGGACTCCTCCTTGTCTCATCATCCGCGCTGAAGCTTGTGGAGAGGAGGAGATGGGAAGACTCGAGATTTACAATGCGAATGAAAATAAATCCACTCTCTTGGAAAAGAAGGTGCCTCTTGAGTTGACGTCTAGAGAAACAAGGGTAACGATCGGGGCATCTCACGGCTGGATAGCTACACTCAAGGACGACGGAGTCCTCCGTCTCCAAGATGACCTAAACCCTGTTGCCTCCGGGACAGATCCGAAACGCATCCCGCTGCCTCCTCTTGTGACTCTGCCACGTTGCCAAACCCAAATCGTCACCAACGTGTCACTGTCCTCATCTTGTCCGGAGAGTGATGAGGACTGCGTTGTGGCTGTCAAGTTCTTGGGACCTCAGCTCAGCTTCTGCAGGCCAGCCGCCGCTAAGAGTGAGTGGACCAACATCAGAGTCGCAAACCCATGTTTCTTCTCCTCCCGGGTCATGTTCTCCGAGGGAGATGGCATGTTCCGCATTCCCGGAGCTGGAGGACACGTGATTGGTTCATGGGATCTCAGCAAAAAACACAAACACAAGATCCAGAGGCTACGTTTTCAAAACCTCCCCGAGCTGACCAAGGCCAAGCGGGAGCTTTTGCATTCGTGTCTCACAACGGAGCACCTCGTGGAGTCAAGAACCACTGGAGAAACTTTCATGGTCAAGTGGTACAGGAAGGCCGCCAAGGGTCTCTGGAGGTTGAAGACGAGAGCTTTGATGGTGTTCAAGCTTGACCAACAAGGAAACGCTGTTTACACTCAAGACATTGGAGATCTCGTCATTTTCGTCTCCAATTCTGAACCTTTCTGTGTTCATGCTAGCTCCTTCCCCAAACTGGAACCTAACATGGTCAGAATCATAGACGTCGACGAATGTGGAACTATCTTTCTGGACATTTCCTCCAAGTATTCCTCCGTCATTACTCGGTCTCCTACACTCCCGGCCCCATACCATATCCCACCTCAAAAAATTGACCCTTCCTTAGTTTCCACCTAAACGCCATAGTTTACTAGTACAAGTACATGTAACATCATGTTATATATGTACCGGTTTTTATATAATCAGAATTCAATTCAATTATTCTTATTTCGTTTTCCTTTCTCGCAATAAAAATGGAGAATTGTTGTAAAAAACTCTGACAATGACACTCGTTCAAAGAGGAAAAGAAAAGGTTGATTTGAGTAAAATTCCTTAAACCATGGGGAAAAATTCCCTACCGAGTTGATTTGAGTAAACCACAGGTTTCAAATTGGCAAAATTGAAATTTTTTGTTCTTATGAAAGAACAACATTAGGCTTTCAAAATCTCAAAGTGAGGCAACTGATGAATCTTGCAGACATTTAGGGCATTTGCAGGTAAAACCGTAGTCTGCAAGTAACGCTTGCCTCTCTTTGTACGGAAGCTCCTCGTCTATATATGAAATCGTCACCTATTTTCACATGGAAAAACAAAACTAAGCCATCCATTTTTATGCAAAAACATTATATTACTAATTTACTATGGAATAGAGAAGAAAAGATGAATACCTCTTCGTTCTTGCTGATGCGTCTTGACGCAATAATAACTGCTTGTCCGTCTCTGTCCTGCAACATCACAAAAAAGAGATCCAATTGGAGAAATCGAGTTCAGTCCAAAAGCGTTGATGGAAAAAAAGTGTGAGAGACCAATAAATGTTTACCTCTTCTCTTTTGAAGGCTTTTGCATTAGGGCAACATGAATGGTTTATACAGCTCTGTAAAGGGAAGAAAGCCGTTCCTAGCACAAACAAAAATGTCCTAATAATGTCAAAATCTTGGTTATATATATGGCGAAAATGGTTTCGATCATCATCTCTTACCTTGGCAACAGTCTGAATACTCATCACCAAGAGCATCTAGAAACGGTCTTGTGATTTCCTCAGCTGCTTCCTGTGACAAGGAAAGTAAAAACTGGTAAGGGTTGTGTCAAAGCTCAACATGGATCAGATTCAAAAGAGTATTATTATGTTAAAACCTTTTCTGCATCCGGAAGATCATCGATGTACAAGAAATAGTCCTCTACTGGTGATGCTACCACCAAGTCTCTGCCAAAGATGTAACATATTAGTATCATCTCTGAGTAATTCATTGTACTGTAAGGACATATACAGGAAATTTGGCGACTCTTACAGATTATTCAGCTCAAACATGCCAATGATATTCCCATAGATATCGAGGGAGAAAACTTTCCGGCGTCAAGGAAATGACCCTCTGCGAGTAAAATATAAAACAAAGGAAACGATGGTACAGATAATATATAGGATACGGGCTTCACATTCTTTGTCAAATATTGCTGTCTTCAGGAGCTCCAAAGACTGAAGATAAAACAAAAGAGTCAAGATTCATAGCTGATGCAACTGCGGTTGTGCTCTCTACACAAAAAAACATGGCAGACAAACTGAATCTTCAGGCGATATATACATACCGAACATGCAAGATTCTTTAACTGCATCCTGAATGCTTCTTCATCAGAAGGATCAACATCATCTGGCAACGCAATACAGTCCCACCACCTACCACAAGCAAGAATAGAGTTACACATCATTCATATACTGCATCACATTCAATAATGGCAACAATCAATAGATACCTGTTTTTGTATCCCATCGATACTGGCTTCCATGCCTCCAAGAGTAACGACTGCTTTGTCACACTCTGTTTCGCTTGTTCCTTCACATGTTCTGCTTTCAGTTTCCTGTACCTTAGAATGGTAAAGGCAATCACCTAGCCACAATCCATTATCCAGAACAGCTTAGTTTTACATTCAAAAGTTCCATGGCAACTTTATATTCTAAAAGTAGACATAACAACTGATACAAGAACAAGATGTACCTTTGCAGCCAGGAAAAAGATATCATTTGTCTCTGAAAATTTAAGAAATGAAAAATACATAAACACACTTATCAGCAGCAACACAGAAAAAGCCAAGATTCAAAGAGAGAAAAAAACAACAATTTTACCATTAGCATGTTTTATAAACTCTCCAAGCGCATCTCTAGACACTGATTCAGACTTCTCACCAGTGCAAAGTAAAGAATGAGAACTTTCCCAATCCGCCTCTGCGCAAGATCCACTATACAACAGCAGCAGACAAACTTTAGACATGTAAAAAAAGAAAACGTAAATTTCAAGAACATAAAAAACTCTCACTTACCTACAGTAGATAGCCTCTTGGCATCCTCCTGGACACGAAAGAGGCGAAGGCAAAGGAAACTTATCAGTATGCGGCAACGCCATTTCACCGTTCATCAGAGAAGTAACAACTTCTTGCGGAAGAGGAAGATTATGATTCGAACTGCTTCCACCACATTGTTGTTCATCATTTCCTTTCATGCACTCATCTTCTCCGCTTTCAGATGAATCACCATCGCAGCAAGTAGAGAGACCGAGATTCTTGAAATAGAGTTTCCTTCCGATTTGTTTCTCTATTGATCCAACGAACCGGAAACAAAAACTGCAAACTAAACAGTCCATCTGCAAAATTTAGGTGGAGAAAAAGTGTGAATCACACAAGAAAAAAAAAGTGAATTCAGAAGAACACAAATATGCAGAAAGGATAAGTCACCTTGTTGGATGAATGTTGCATACCAACAAGAATCTGATCCTTCAAAATGAGTTCGTCTTCCTGAAACTCTGAATTGGCATAAACACCTAACCAATTGATTTTAAAAAGAAGAAGAACAGATTAGATTACGAAAACTGAAACCAACATTGGAGCAGATATAAGAACCTTAATCTATATGAATCCGGAAATCCAAATTTGGCGGCGAAATTTACATTTTCCGAAGCTGCCGTTATGTTTAACTTCAATTCCGTTGCATCCTCTACTTGTTATCAGCTGATTGAAATACTCCTGAACCAAAACAAAAACAAACTGAGAAACTAGAATCGAGCTCAGAGATAAGCATCGAACACGTTTACAGAGACTGAATTTAATCGGCAAGCGAGAGGAAGGGAGGGAAGGAGAGAGGGATTGATTGCCTGAACTTGGAGAACTGGAACTGGGGATAGAAGAGCGGCGACTTCGGCGGCGGAATTGTCGTTGGTTTTGCAAAGAGAATCCATCAAAGCGCCGGAGATATTTTTTCAGACGACGGTGCTTTGCTTATTATTCAGCGGACGGTCTGTACTTCTGAGCGTGACGGCGCGTCCGGTGCTATTTCACTAATCACTAAATATGCAATTGGAAGATCATCTTTTAGGTTAATTAAGCAAAATTGGGCGTTAAATTTGTAGATTTTACGGTTAATGTGTGTTATAATGATCCAGCAGCGAATGGTAAAATTTTGCCAGTAGAAACTTTATTTTTGTTTAACTCTACAAAGATCCGTTTCATTTTCACCATTGATAAGAATACAACTCCACCTCCGGTTTACCGGAATCGAACAGACGTTGAACGTGAGAATTAAAAAATTGGAAGTAGACCAAAAATGTTGAATATAAAGGTTTGTTCCAAATTGCCTCAACGTATTTATGAGAGTTTACAACTTCACATTACAAGAACTCACTAAGGAGTTAAAGAAGAAATGCAGACAAAATAAACGGACTTGGTTTCACTTTCTACTAAAATTTGCTAATACAGAAATTACAAACTTTCGATACTTTCCACAAAGGAAAAGTCTCGAAATACTCTAAAACTCCATAAATATCAAACTATAATTCCGAGAAAATACAAAAAAAAAAAAGAGGGAAAAAGCTTCCAAGTTCAGCCGAAGACACACTCCATGATGGTAACGAGACCATTTACGCATCTGCCTGCTTCTTGTTAGAACACAAGATGAGAGGATGAAATTTAAATTATACGAGTTTCATGGTTTCCACCTCTTTTCTTTTCTGCTGAGGATCAAGAAGCACATCCAAAGAACTGTTCTAGTGACTGCGACGTGAACACATTTGGAGCCAACCGCTCGGGTTTCGCCGCAGAGACGTGAAGCTGATACTTGATAAACCTCTGCAAACAAAGGCGAATAACAGAGAGAAATCAGTTTTCACTACAACCAAGATAAGAGAATGTAAAAATCTTTAAACAAAAAAAGGAAAGGACTTTACAGCTAGTTGTGTGTTGATTTCTGGGTTTGTATCGATATGCCAGTCAGGCTCTAGCTGTCTAACAAACGATGTTCTTCCGACCTCTGTGCTACAAAACAGGACCTGCAAAGTTTTTCATGTCACAATATGGTTATGGTTACCTCATGCTTTGATAAGATTGTATGAGAAAGCTTGATTGAGTACCTTATCTTTGACCAAACCACCAGATGTGAAAACACCTGCACTCTCTAAAGCCTGTAGGACTTTGGCCTGCACATTCAGTGCTCAACAATGTTTAAATGATGATCACAATTATCCGCTGTGAAATGCTAGAACAAGAATGGAAGAAGGAGTTGTTTGCTCACTTCGGTTTCATCGTCAAGAACTCTTTCCATGAGATATAAATCAGAACACTTTGTAATCTCTAGGAGAACTTCCAGCACAGATGACTTCACTGTTACTTGTTTCTGCATAAATTTTTGCTCTAAGTCAGGTACAGACGCATCATGCAATATGATAACTTCAATACCAAAAAGGAAATATCATTACTTGAAGTTCTTCTGGACTTGATTCCTCAAGAATGACTCCAAGAAGACGGCATGTTACCTACAAAATGCATATCATACCAAGAGTGAAAAGTCAACACAATAATGACCTAGATTCAGTGCAGCTTCAATATAGAGCTTAGATTGAAATAAAGATCATTTAATATGCTCAAAATCTATAAGTAACTCGGAGAAGGTGTCTATGACCATACAAAACAGAGGTTATAACATAACCAAAAGACAAAATTCACAACATTATCAACGCAGACATGAAAGTTACCTTCCTTCCTTCACTAAGCTTCTGCCTAACTAATTGTCCCAAAGTAGGCTGCGAAAAAAAGGTTAATGCTTTAGCATAAAACTTGAAAGAACAAAAAAAAAAAAAAAACAGAGTATAGAAAGAAGAGAATGTTACTTTTACAGGTTGAAAGAACTGATCAACGACGTCTTGCGCCGCGGAATCCTCACGAGGCGAAGAAAACTCGGGAGGGACCGAAGTTACATTCGTCTGCCCAGCAGCAGCAGCGGCGGCGGCATTAGAGGTTTCAGCTGGTTGCATCCTCCGTTTAGGCTGCCGTCTTTGGCGTTCCCCTGGTGTTCTTATCGCTCTCCATGTGAATATCACAGCGATTGCAAGCCCCGCAATAGCACCAATAGATCGCGAATCCTAAGTTTCATGAATAGCAAAAACGAATTGAAACTAAATTCTAAAAAAATGGATTTTTTTTTTTCACAGGCAGCTAAATTACAGTCAAATTTGAGCTGAATGATTAGTTTCGTCAATTTTCAGATTGAAACGATAGAGAGAGAAGACATTCAACTGAATTATTACTTCCTAGAGTTCGCATTTGATCCTACACAAGCTGAATTTGAAATCTCTGGCAAAAATCAAAAATTTCCGACTTCCTTTAAGCAAAAATGACACACAATTACGCCACTAATTCCATTAATCTCCGAATTAATCCGAATCAAGCCAGGACCCAGAGATTCCCGCAATCGGAAAACTATAATCCCACCAGATCCAATTACAGCAACCGTGCAAAAGGGAAATTGAAAATAGGGATGAAGAGAGAGAGGAATCGAGAGAGAACCAGATTGCGAATCGTCGATGTAGAGAAGAGGTTTGACATCTTGAAAGCAACGTAAGCGCTTAATCGCTTGATTAACCGAACGATCTCTTCAGTGGGCGATGCCAACGAAGAAGACGATTCCGCCATTAATTCAACCTTTGTCCTTCAGGCCGAATCTAAAAACGCCGTCGCTTTACACGAGAATCGAACTTATCAGAGATTCTTAGCTTCAGCTTTCGGAGAACCAGAAAAGAAGGGCACTGATGTCGAGCCCCGAGTTGAGAAAGAGAGACAGAGAAGAAGAAGAAGGAATTGTACTTTCCTCGTAGAACAACACAACTTGCAAAAGTCCACCCAGTGAAACTGACACGTGTCACATGAACGCGTGGCAGTAGATTAGCATGTGAGACTACGGTTTATAACGTAGGGTGCGAGGGGTACGATCTCCAACGTTACAGAAATGAAACGGTGCGTTTTTGCTCTAGTCTTGTTGAATTTTTGTTTATTTTTGGCTTTTTGGTTCTTGAGGAGATTTTTACACGACAAACACAAGACGATCTGACTGGTAAGAAAATTTAGAAATCAAGATTTGTTTTCAGTTTGCTATAGTCTGATAGTTGTGTTATCACGGCGTGTCATTTTACACGTGAAACAAGAAAGCAGAGGCATGAACATGAAGCACAAAAACACATGAGAAAAAATGTTGGAAAGAAACTCTATTTCATTTATTTTTAAAATTTCAGCTATTCAAATTAACAGGTTTAGGTGATGAATCGTAATCCTAGTCTATTATACATAATTGGGTGATATAAAATAATTTTCATAACTTAATTTTGAGACAAATTTGAAGAAATGAAAATTTATCTTTAAAAATTAGTTGATAAACTTTTCTCGTTAACAAAACGCGTTCAGTTAAAAGAATATATAAAATTTTATATATTAAACATATAAAGAAGATAAAGTGGATGCAACAGATAGGCTCTCTTGCATTGGTTGATTATCTTGAAGCGAAGAAACGTCACCGTGTAATAATAGCATCTCTTTATCAAGGTGAAAGCAATAGCTCTCAAAAACTCTAGAACTCACTGTAACTCTAAAGTCAAGGAGGAAGAGAAGCTCCAACTCCATTTTGTTCAAGTCAGCATTGCTCACGCCACCAACCCGAGCGTAGAATTCGTTGTTGTAGTGCCTGTGAAACTGGAATTAGTTAAAAACCTATATTTTCTCATCTAAATCTCAAATTCAAGAACTTGATACAAAGCTTGTCCTCATTTACATTTGGTCACATATCAAATGTATTTTCATTTCGTATATGAACTAATACACACAACTTCTAGTTTTATAATCTGTCTAATTGACGATATATGAGAGATTCAAAGAAAGGCTTACACGTCGTCTAGCATCTTGGAAGCAATCATGACACAAGTGACGAGGAGTCTATGAACATTCATGGAGACAACCAAAGAACCAGGATGCTTATGAGCTAGCCGGTCTATGTACACATACCCGACCACGAAACACGACGGGCTACATTTTGTGTACTTATATATCCTCTCAAGGTACTTGGCTATACTTATGCTCGGTGCTCTCACGCCGTGAAACGCATCCAAACTCTTCCCGAATCCTTTAGTTTGCTTAGCCAACCATTCGTTTCGTGCCACGAGCTTCTCCATCACATGAGAGATTATAGTCAGCACTCTTGGAGTGGCGGCTTCGGTTGGCAGATCTTGTCCCACGACCGGGTCCGGTTCATCATCTCCGGCTGAGGCTAGCATAGTGGGTTCTCTTTCTCTTCTCTCGTTAATGGGCCATGTTGTGACGTTCGTTTGTGGGTATGTCTTGTAGATTGGGTGGTGGAGATACCATGAGTCTAAAGAGCTTACGTGGGTGATGTTATCATGTTTCGTCTGACTTTTGAGCAGCTTTATATGAGATGGGTTTTTGACACGTGTAACTACGTGAGAAGATAGGGTTCCTCGCGATAATTTTTGCATTTTTCGAGCAAATAAATCGGTTAACAAACAAATAACTTAAATCCCACTTACTTTGCTGCGTATTCCTATTATATCTCGATGTAAATCCTAATTATAGTAGTCTTAGATTCTTACAACTGTGAAAAAAGTCAAATACAAAAGGACAATACGCGTTCTTACAGATTTGTACGGGGTAGTAACATGATTTATTTTGGTAAAAATAGTAGTACATGATAAATTTGCAACTGATCCGATAAATTTATTTATTTACCACTAAAAGAGTGTCATAGTGACGGCTCGTGAATATTCCACGTGGGTTTTCAACAGCAATCCTACATGTTTGTCTTTCTTTTTTCCCCTGATTACGCCACGTTGGTTTTAACGTGAAATTTAACCACGTGGTAATACGTTTTCACACGGTATAAAACAGAGCAAACAACCCCCTACCTCTCTTTCTTTCTTTTTCCCCATTCTTCTACGTGATTTACATTTTACAGTACACCACTGTAAAAACTCTCTCTGACGTTCTTCGCTTTCGCTCGATTCATGAAAAAAAGTATTTTGTTTTTAGGATGTATAAAATCTCTTTTGTGTAATCGGCCTCATTAATGTGTCTTCAGTTTCTCCACATCCAACGAAGGTTGTGGATCAGACTAATCGATTTTCGTCACAAGTAAGTGTTTCTTCCTCAATCGAAGCTTTCATCAAATCATTTTTTTTTTCAAAAAGTAACAAATCAACGACATTTTCTCGTAATTCAATGTATTTACATACAAAAACCTTATCATGCATCGGAATTGCTAGGATCTAGAATTCCAAAATTTATCATCATTTTCCTTTCAAGATTTGCCTCTGACCCAATTCTAAAATGTTCATGAATCTCAGTCGTGCAGGATCTGACGCGTGTGTACTGATCCATACATAACAAAAACGCCAAATTCTTCCTTCGATTAGAAATCATCAAGTTAGAGTTTTTTTTCTTCTCTATACATGTTTCTTCAATTTTGCAAAATCGTTTATTATTCATCATGTCTTCAGATATGGAGCCAAAGTGTGACCATTGTGCAAGCGTGCAAGCAGTGATTTACTGCAAATCAGATTTGGCTAAACTATGCCTAAACTGCGATGTCCATATACACTCTGCGAATCCACTGTCACGTAGGCACACACGGTCTTTGATCTGTGAGAAATGTTTCTCACAGCCTGGCGTAATCCGTTGTCTCGACGAGAAGGTTTCATATTGCCAAGGATGTCACTGGCACATAAGTAACTGCTCTGCTTTAGGGCACAGACTTCATGTCTTGAACCCTTTCTCTGGTTGTCCTTCTCCAACAGAATTTGTCAAAATATGGTCTCCGATTCTTGAACCTTCTGTCTCCGGTTTGGTTGGTCCGTTCGTTGGTTCTTTGCCCTTGAATGATCCTATTAATGCTATATTTGGGATGGGGAAAATCAACGAATTAGATGGCTTCATCGGTTCTTCCTATTCCATGGCGCCACACAACATATGTTATACTCAGAATCTAAGTGATCAATCGTCTTTGCTTACCGTGGAATCCAAGGTACTAGTAGACCTAGGAATTAAACGTGTTTCCTAAGTTCTTGATGGACAATGATGTTCTCATTTGTATATATGTGTGCGTTTCCAGGGATGTTCTGATTTGGTTCTTAAACTTGAAGAAGGAGAGGAAGATATATGTGAAGGGCTTAACTTGGACAATGCGCCGTTAAACTTTAACGTTGGAGATGATATATGTTCATCACAAGATCACATAGAATTGGACCATACGGAACCAAACTGTCTCGTGATCGACAAGAACAACACATCCGTGACAGCCTCAAACTTTACTATAGACAACGCTTTAGAGGTCTCTTTTGATTATTATTTTTGTTCTTTTTTGATATAATCTAAATAGTAGTACTATAATGAATTTGGTATTGTTCAGGCAACGTCACCAGAACAACATGATTGCTTAAGTTATCAGTCAGGTCCGTTTCAAATGAACATCAGCACTGGAGGAATTGCTCTTCCTCTTCCTGGATCACCTGCCTTGTTCGGACAAATGCATCCGACCATCACATGTGAAAACAGTGCAGCGGATTACCAAGATTGTGGGATGTCTCCAGGGTTTATGATGAGCGATTCGCCATTATGGGAATCGAATCTTGAAATTAGTCCACAAGCAAGGAATGAAGCTAAGTTGAGATACAAAGAGAAGAAACTAAAGCGCACGTAAGTTTTTTTCTTTATTATTTTTTAAATCGTTACAAGACAGAGTTCATAAACAAACTTGGATTCAAGACTATTTCTTTTGTTTGAATTGTAGGTTTGGAAAACAGATTCGATATGCATCTCGCAAAGCGAGAGCTGATACAAGAAAAAGAGTGAAAGGGAGATTTGTGAAAGCTGGAGATAATTATGACTATGATCCATCATCACCGAGCTCAAACCAGTGAATTTTTCTTTCTTTTTCCCTAAAACAATGTATGTTTTCTGGTTATGATGATATCTGAGTACCTTAAAACGTTTTCTTGTCGAAAAAAGCAACGTAATCGTTTATTTTTGTGTGCAGATATTTTTATTTTTGAATCGAGGAAATCAACATGTTGCGACATGAGAACGTTGGAGAACTGCACGAAGAATCTTAGACGTAGTGGAAGTGACTCAGATGGTGGAAAACCAAAATGGTGAAAGATATAGTAATTTTTGTTTCCTTTATTTACACAATTATAAATGTTTTGATCTTTTATCAGTTTATGGGTTTTTGCTGTAATAGGAAAAATACTAAATTCTTCTCTTTACGAATAATTTCTTAGCTTCTTTTTGATAAATAATGTACCAGTGATTACAATGTTTTATTATATATTCTCTGTCTTTTACGATAAGGTGGTTGCGTTTAACGTGTCTTATATATGGTTATTAAAGAGTTTAGCTTTTTTTCGTTTGTAACCAAGAAGTTTCGAATCTTAGATCCATAATTTTTTCCGAGTAAGTTTGAATTAGTTTCCTCCACGTCGTTAGCATTTGAATTCGTCATTCTTCTCTTTTAAGTGGCAAGCAAGCTAGTAAGAACTAGCAATGGTGGATGTCCTTAAATAGCTTAATTTTTTTTAATGTTTAAATCGATTTGTTTTTGTGTGTGCTGAAACTCATATATCTTCTTGTCCGAGCAACTGCAAAATTCTTCACAAACGGAAATCAAACTAGGGGTTTAGGGTTCAATCTCCTTTGTAAATTGCATCATCTTTGTCTTATAGAATAATTATCTTTTAAAAAGAAATATAGTAATTATCTTTCCTAATTCGTCTAATTGTTTGATTAGAGAAGATGTTTCATATGGGAAAAGTTTAGTAGTAGTTATGTATCATTGAGGAAAATGATAAGCAGAAAAGTATGAAAGACAAAAAAAAGATATTCTAACAAAAATCCAAAACAGAGTCTCATGTACCTGAAGACTACACAGTGCAATTGATTCTTGCTTGAATTTGGTGTTTTGGATAAATTCTTGCTTGAATATTGAGTTTGGTGATTTGATTTTTAATTTTCTTTTTATATATTTGACTTCAGTTCCAAACATTGCAGAGTAGTAAAGCATATAGCTTAAGATTCCAAGAATAAACTCATCAACAGGCTCTCTAGTCAATTTAATTAAGATCTTCTTGTTCCTTTCCTTTATATTCCATAAATCTTTTTGCTATTTTAGTCAATTCTCATATCTTAAAAATTCTAATTTTTCGCTTCATAATGGGGATGATTTGTGGGAGTTATGGTTGCTCTCTACAGCTCTATATCTCTTTGCACCACTCCAAAATTATCAATCATGCTCTTATTTTATTTCTTTCTATTTTTGAAACATAGAACAATTTTATTTATTTATGGAAGTTCCGTAGCTGTGGAAAGCAATTTTTCTAGAGCACTTTAGTGCTCTCTAAATTCTCTCTCTTCTCTTTCCTTATTATTTTGTCTATATTCTTTTTTTAATCTCTTATTTCTATATCTTCTTTTTTTGTTTTAATATTTCATTAAATACACAATCTACAAAATAAAAAAAACTTACAGCACTAAAAATTAAAGCCACAGCACTAAAACCTACAGTATAAACTCTACAGCCAAAAATCTAAAGCCACAGCCACATCCAATCAGGCCCAATATTCCAACATTTTTTATAGAAAATTGCATAAAAAACCCTAGGAATAATTATCTTACACGGTTACCAAAAAAAAACTAAATCAGAGAAACACAAACGGAACCTCGTGATCGCTACTATCTTCCTCACTCCTTGTCGTCGTTCTATTCTCCTCCGTCGTCACTGCCGGTAAAACAACGTGAAAGTCCTCTCCGACGAGACACCGGCGCGTGAGTTTCTGGCAGGAGGAGCAGAGCACGCGTCTCACGTGTCTCCAAGCAAGAAAATTCGCTCCGTGAACCCACCGGTCACATTTCCTACAAAGAAACGCCGAGTCCGCCTCGCAAAACACGGAGGCGTCGCCGCCGCAGAGCTCACACCTAACCGAAACACTCGGTCTCATGCAGATACTCCGGCAACCTCCGTCGACGCTTCTGCTCTCTTCTTCATTCACGCCTCTACACATTTTTCTCAATATCTCTCTATTTCTCTCTCTCTCTCTTCTGCGTTTGATTCTTTATCTCTCTCTCTTTCTCTGGTGGCTATTGGGGAAAGAAGATTTTGTAAGTTGGAGAAATGTTAACCATATATATAGGAATATTATTGTTTGTTAAAAGCAAATTGGAGATTTTTTTTTTATCAATTGTTTTATGAAAGAATGATGTGTTTGTGTTGTCGTACACGTGGATGAATATTGCCCTGTTATTTTGACGTAAATGCCCTTAATTTTGTGAGAACTTTTCTCCTCCAAGCGATCTTTCGTCCTCATATTGGACGCACAAGTTTTTAAAAACAAAACTCCATAGTACGACTCTTTCGTTTTTCATCGCACACCACTTCATTTGAATCATTGTGTTCTTTTGTTTTTTCTTGGGGGTTGAGATATGATGTTAATTGTATTATGTTGTAATCTGTAAAATGATTAAAATGTAAATAGACAAAAATTTGATTAGAAATTTTCAAATTTATAGTATATGGAAGCACCAAAAGACAAAATTTAAGTTATGAAAGTTTGTAGTTTAATTACATTACGATCTTTTCCCAAGCGAAAACTTAGTTGTATAGGGAGCATTATCTTCTTTTTCAGGGTATTAAATTTGAGGCATTTTCAAGCTTCTAGAATCAGTCGCACAAAAAAATCAAGTCACCGAATAAATATCTGGTATCTGGTTTTTATTACATTCCGTTTCCTAGCACACCTTATTTTCTATGATTTTGTTTCTTCTGGTACATGTGACAGATTTTCTAACAAAAAAAAGATAAAAAAAATTATGTTTACAAGTAATTAGTGGAGGAAACGGGGTGAAGCATAAGAAACGGCTAGAATTTAGAGTGATATCAATATCTTGGTTATTGGTGTCTTTGGGTCATTGTGTGGTGGTTAATCAGTCAACATTTATTTAATTATATAAGCTTACTATCAGAACAAGCAAAGAAGACTCTAGCTACTTGTATGGTTCACATTTAAAGCATTTTTGGTCCTTATTGTTTTAGTCACTTATTTGTTTGTTTTTAATGTTAGCTACCCCACAAATTCGAATAATCTCGGTTAATTAAAAATGTTCGATTATTAGAAGTGCCATACATTGCATGTGATTGATTACTAGCATGTATATACATATCTAATCGGAAAACATAATAGTATGAAAAAATTAGCTTTTAGCTAACAATACATTATTTACGATCAAAAGGTTTGTAAACTGATTATTTGTAATAGTGACTCTGTAGTGTCGTTATAACATGAATTCAAAAAGTTTGTAAGTTTGAGTTATGAATGACAAAAGTACAATCAAAATTTAAGTTGAAATTACACTAAATATTGTTCCTTGCACAAAAATGGTGCACAATTACATTGTAAATTGTTTGATATGAATTTGTGAGATTGTCTTCGTTAAAATTAAGTAACCAAAATATGTCAAGAAAAAGCTTTGAATGTGAACCATACAAATGGATCTCATTTATACAAAGATATAAGACCAAATGTTACAAAAAATGGATAGTTTTAAAATTGATTCATCAATAGCAATTTGCATTGATGCTAAATTGCTAAGTAAACTATATTTTATTGTTAACATATCCGTTTTTACAGAAAAAGAAAATGAAAAAGAATCATATCGGTCACCATTATACATACATGATGGGTGGCAAGTCATAATGAATGTAATAAGCGAGTTCATATATTTTGTTAACTTATAATTCTATAAACTAATTCAAAAATAGTGAGGATATAGATAATTTTGAAGTATGTAATAATCACAAATATATCGAACAATGTTTAATGTTATTTAGATTCTTCTATACCATAGATTTATATCCCTTATGATTATGCACAAAGGTAGTATACAGTTTATGAAAACTATTTACATATATATATATTAGATTCTTTTAAAATTAACTTTGATCAAAGCAAGTTGTATCTCATATCGAATATCACGCTGCCAAATTAAGATCTACGATCAACTGATAAAACTACGAACACTTAATAGACCGGCTGGAATGATAATGAGACTAAGAATATTATATTTGTGTGTTTGATACGTTATGGCAAAAAGAGAGAGATGTTGTCCACAAGTTGATTTAGTGTTGATGCGTAGTAACACTTGCGTGGATCATATTAATCCAAAATCCAAAGCCTTTTTCTTTCTAATTTTGTCCGCAGATTTTTCTGTCTGTTGTTTATTGTTGCCTGTTGGTACGAGACCTTAGCCGTCCAATCTTTCCAAAAAGTATGTGACCACTGTTTTTTGGAGTTTTATTATTGCAATATTTTGTAGTTCTTTATTATATAGTTGGTACGTAGGACATATGTATCGCATTTACGCATGTATACGCGTAACCACAACCCTGGATAGTGGTATATTGGTATAATATATACTCCCAAAAATATCTATTTAATAATTACTCGTACGGTTGATATGATGTCTTCTATGTCAAAAGCATTTTGTTTTTTTACAAAAACAACAACGCATTTTGTTGGAGTCTAGATGATTTTCGTTAATAGAAATGGTTTTATACGCATTGATGATGATGATAATGCTTTAGGCACCACCCACCCTACCTAGCTAGACTGTTGTTAGAAGTTAGAACACTAGGTAGATTAATTTTTTTCTTTGGTTCGGTTTTCACCTTAATTTACTCTTTAATTAAACCAGCTTAACCGATTATCGATCGGTTCAATCCAAGCCTTAACTAATTAGCCAAACAGGCCCAAATCAATAAACGACGTAATGGAGCCCATAGGCCCATAAATCACCAAAACCGGAGCGGATCTAACGATGATGGAACAACCAGCTCAGGCGAGGTGACACTTTTCATCAAAAAGAGCTCTCGAGAAATCTAACCGTCGACGAGAAGAAGAAAATGAATTCCACTAGTCGTAAGAGACGACCTGATTCTTCCTCTCTCTCTAGAACCGATTCTCTCTCCTCCGAATCGTTGTCTCCGACTAAATCTCCGGCGATGACGAACGGAATTCGCGTCAGGAACCTCTTCTTACTGCTCCTCTTCTCCTGCGTCGTTATCTACACTCTCTTCTCCTTTAGCCCCATCCGCCGCGCGCAGTTTCCTTCTCTCGTTCGCTCTCTAGGCTTATCTTCAACTCGACGCCGTCACTTACTCTTCTCCATAGCTTCCTCACACGACTCCTGGCTCCGCCGTAGCTCCTACGTTCGACTCTGGTACTCTCCCGAGTCTACTCGAGCTTTCGTGTTTCTCGATCGCGGCGGATTCGAGTCCGATCCGAGTCTACCTCCTCTGATCGTCTCCGAAGATGTCTCTCGGTTTCCTTACAACTTCCCCGGCGGTCTCCGGTCGGCGATTCGCGTGGCTCGCGTCGCTAAGGAAGCGGTGGATCGGGAGGATAAGGATGTGCGGTGGTTCATCTTCGGAGACGACGATACTGTGTTCTTCGTGGAGAATCTGGTGACGGTTCTCTCCAAGTACGATCATCGGAAATGGTATTACATTGGAAGCAATTCGGAGAGCTTTGATCAGAACGTGAGGTATTCGTTCGACATGGCGTTTGGCGGCGGAGGATTCGCCATTAGCGCCTCGCTTGCTAGAGCTCTGAGTAAGGTCATGGATTCCTGCTTGATGAGATATTCGCATATGTATGGAGGTGATTCCAGGATCTTCTCTTGCTTAGCTGAGCTTGGTGTTTCATTAACTCATGAACCTGGATTTCATCAGGTAAAGAAATTAATTGTTTGTGTTGACAGTGACATTGATGCAGAAATTGAATTAGTTTGATGATTGAAGCTGTAGATTGCTTGATCCGAGAGAGAGTGTATTAGTTAGTGTTTATGGTTTGAGTAGGACTCATGATCTTTAGAAATGTAGTCAATTGCTGAGAATACTGATTGCTTGTTGTTAGCTATTATTACTCAGCATCATCAGGTGAAAAGTCTGAGCTCCTTGGAAATTTGAATTGTTTATTAGTTCATAGTGACATTGATGCTGAACCAAAATGCTGCCTTTAGTCCCTTAGATTAGTTTGATGATTGAAGCTGTAGATTACTTGCTCAAGTAGCTTGATCCGAGAGAAAGTGTATTAGTTAGTGTTTATGGTTTGAATAGGACTCATGATCTTTAGAAATGTAGTAGATTCCTGAGAATCATGATTGCTTGTTGTTAGCTATTACTCACTATCATCTGATTCTGCTGCAACTTCAATTATAATCTGAAAAGCTTACTCGTAAATCTATAGATTGATGTACGAGGGAATCTATTTGGACTGCTATGTGCACATCCACTATCTCCACTGTTGTCTCTGCATCACTTGGACGCAGTTGATCCGTTATTTCCAAAGAAGAACAGAACGGAAGCCGTGGCTCATCTTATCCGCGCTACTAATCTAGATTCCGCAAGGATTTTGCAGCAAAGCGTGTGCTACGATTCGTCAAACTCAGTGACTGTTTCTGTTGTGTGGGGTTACGCGATTCAAGTTTACGAAGGGAACAAGCTCCTCCCGGATCTTCTCTCCCTCCAGAAATCCTTTTCTACATGGAGGAGAGGGTCAGGTGTTCAAAGCAACTACATGTTCAGTACAAGAGAGTATCCAAGGGATCGTTGTGGTAGACCGATGGTGTTTTTTCTGGATAGTGTTGGATCAGATGGAAACAGAGGAACGTGGAGTAACTATACGCGATATGGCGTTGAGAATTGTCGCAGAGCTGAGGCTATTAAGCGTCTAAGACAAATCCGAGTACTGTCGCATAAACTGGAGCACAATGTTGAACAGGTAAAGTATAGTTGCTTACCTTCTTACTTAATTTTAAGGCTAGAGATACTTTTGTAGTTACGCTCTTTGCTCTGGTATTTTTCAGATGAAGGCTCCACGTCGGCAATGCTGTGATATCTCTCCATCATATGAGGAATCAATGGTCATTAGCATAAGGAAGTGTATGGAAGATGAGCTCATTGCAATGAAAGGTTAAGGCTTTGGGGAGTCCATGAATGACAAAGTTTTAACTAGAAGCCCGAGAGAGTGAAGATCACATTGGTTCTTGCTCACAAAAACGAATGGTGCACTACAAAGGTATATTACCTGGTGCTGTGATTTGGACAATTTCGGTTTGGTTTTGTGTGAGAACTGAGAAACTCTGTCACGAGCTTGTTGTGGGGATCGAGCACTTGAAGAAATTAGCTGCTTTGGGAGAACCTTTGATTTAAAGGTGGTTTTTTTTCTCTTATTAGTACTTTTTTTCTTTAAACTTAATTATCAAAAGCTCCACGACTCTTGAGATCTTCCTAACCACTGGTATTTTTCAGGCTTTGATCATAAGATCTGACTTCTGGAGTTTTGGTTATGTTGTTCTTCTTCAGCCCAATCAAGCACCGTTCAGAATCTTGTGTATATATCCGGGTATCTCTTGATATTCTGACAAATATTTTTTTGGCGAAAAGTTTTGTGTCTTTGTCTATATATGCAACAATGTTTCAGTTCCGCTATAGTACCTCAGGATCTTGCTTTAAAAGTAAAGACCAAATCATAGAAGACAAGTTATATATTTTTATGTTGTGGAAGAAGCTGAAAGTAAGAATCTTATATTATATTTGACAAAAAAAATACAAAGAATCTTGTAATTCTAGAAATTAACAATTAATACTTCATTTCAGGTTATTAATAACCGTACAAATCGTGTGATTGTAAGAGTATGAACATAGTCGCACCCTTTTGTCGCCGCAAATACCAAGTCTCAGCTCCCAACTCCTCTCTCTCGTCCGTTACAAACTGTACACATTTCTTCTAAAAACAGAAACCGAATACATACAGTCAAATTTCTTACAAACATCAGTCTCAACGCTCCTCACCTAAAAGAAAAACCCCTAGCTCTTTTGAAAAGAAAAATAATAAAAAGTTCCAAAACAATATAATGTACTTACTCTTCATCGTCTGTATCAAAACGCGTCTTCTTGGTCCCTATCTTAGCCATACAAGTTCTCCTTATACGTAGAGTTTCGTCCTTGAACACGACCAACGCGTATCTACACCACAAATGCATGGAAAGTCAAGGGAAATACAAGCCTGGAAGTAAATACGAGAAAGACCTCAAAGATATCATCGGTTCCTTATCTTCGACTAGTAACTTTACCCAAGGTCTCGAAATGATGTCCTTTGGTAAAGGTCCTAGTTTCGTCTCCGTCACCGCTCAGTGCCGCGGCGACTCCTACGGTCCCAAATGCCGCGAATGCTTTAACACCGCGCAAGCTGAGGTAACTTTTTTTTTTTTTTTTTTTTTTTTTTGGGTAAAAAGCTGAGGTAACTTCAACTCAATATATTATCGATCAGTTGTCACATATTACATCCGTGCATGTAATGTTGTTATTGATTGTGGCATCGAAATATGAAAATGTTATTTAATATGACAGCTTCGTAGGAGATGTCCGAGAGACAAAGGTGGAATAATATGGTACGACCAATGTCTTCTCGTCTTTTCTGCGATCAATTCGTTGGGGAAGGTCGATAACGAAAACAATTTCTGCATGTCCAATGCGAAGAACTTCAGCGTCGATCATTACTCCAACAGAGAGTGGATGACTCTCATCACCAATCTGACAACTATAGCCATCGATGACAAAAAACCAAAAGACGCGCCAAAGCTTTACGCAGCAGGGGAAAGGAGGTTCGGGAGGAAGACGGTGTACGGAATGGTGCAGTGTATGCTAGACATTGAGTCAAAGGTTTGTCAGGAGTGTATTACAGATGAAATCGTGAAATTTCACGATTGCTTGTTTTATAAACAAGGAGCGAGAGTTTTGGGTAGGAGCTGTAACATTAGGTATGAGTTTTACCCTTTTATTGCTACCAAGGCCGGTCTTAAATATTTGAAGACATAAAGCAATTGGACAAAAATGTGACTTTTAGTTTTTTTTCTGTAAAATTTACATTATTTATATTGGAATATATGAATTTATTAAGAAAATTAGTTTAAACAAACCTCTATTACACTTTAAAATGAATTATTCACAAACTTAGTTTTGAATTTTTTTCCTGTAAATTTGTTGTTTTTCTAGTTCTGTAAATTATTTCATGAAAGCCAGAAAATAATCAAGGAAATCAAAAATTTAAAAGAGAAGCATTGCATTAGTAATTTTTTACATTTCAATTGGAATCTTATCATATTCAATAAAAAACTAAAGAATCTTATAAAAAACCAACATTTTAGGTTGGCACCGTAAAAATCGTGTGATTGTAAGAGTTTAAACTAGGTCACACATTTGAACTTTTACATTTTCGTCGGCACTGTTCTTGCCGCAAATAAGTCTCAACCTTCAATTCCTCTATCCTCCTCCTCTCCGTTACAAAGTCAAAACATTTTTTCTACAAATTAAATTTCGTATAAGGTAAGTAGGTAACCCAAACCTATAAACCATATATATAAAGTCTCATACATAAACATCTATAAAACAACACACCTCTTTGAGGAAAAGTATAATCAAAACAATGTACTCTAGATAAACGTGTCCGTACAAATCGTGTGATTGTAATGAACTTAGTCACACCCTTTTGTCGCCGCAAATACCAAGTCTTAGCTCCCAACTCCTCTCTCTCTTTGTCCGTTTGTCCGTTACAAACTGTAAACATTTATTCTAAAAACAGAAACTGAATATAATACAATCGAATTTCGAATACACATCAGTCTCAAAACCCTTCTTTGAAAAAATAAATAAAAAAAGATCCAACACAATGTACTCTTCATCGTCTACATCAAAACGCCTCGTTTTGGTCCCTGTCTTGGCCATACAATTGCTCCTTGTACGCAGCGTTTCTTCCTTGAACATGACCAATGCGTATCTCAACCACAAATGCATGGATAGTCAAGGAAAATACAAGCCTGGAAGTAAATACGAGCAAGACCTTAAAGATATCATCGGTTCCATCGCTTTATCTAGTAATTTTACCAGCGGTTACGAAATGATGTCCCTTGGTAAAGGTCCTAGTTACGTCTCCGTCACCCTTCTGTGCCGCGGAGACTCCCACGGACCCAATTGTCGTCAATGCTATGCCACCTCCCAAGCTGAGGTAACTTCAACTCCATATATCATCGATTAGTTGTCACATAAATATATATTTACATGTATAAATACGAATATCAGTTTTGGTTACATGCATCCGTGCAAGCATGCAATGTTGTTATTGATTGTTGTGGCATCGATATGAAAATGTGTATATATATTTATATATGACAGCTTCGTAGGAGATGTCCGAAAATGAAAGGGGGAATAATATGGTACGACCAATGTTTTCTCGTCTTTTCTGGGATCAGTTATTTCGGGAAGATCGATTACGACAACAATTTATGGATGTCCAATGCGAAGAAGTTCAGCGCCGATAATTACTCCAACACAGAGTGGACGACTCTCATCGGCAATCTGACAACTATAGCCACCGATGAGAAAAATTCAAAAGACACGTCAACGATGTACGCAGCGGGGGAGAGGAGGCTCGGGAGGAAGAAGCTGTACGGAATGGTGCAGTGTATGCCAGACATATCGTCAAGGGCTTGTGCGGAGTGTGTTAAACATGAAATCTTGCATTTTCAGGAATGCTTGTTTTTTAAAAAAGGAGCGAGAGTTTTGGGTATGAGCTGTAACTTTAGGTATGAGCTTTACCCATTTGTTGCCGAGGCCGGTCCAAAATATTTGAAGTCCTAAAGCAATTTGAACAAATGTGAATTTTGTTTTTATTCCATAAACTTTAAATTATATTTCAAGGAAATGAAAAGTGAAAAAAGGGAAACACTACATTAGTATATGTTTGATTTATTGATTATGTTACGCACTCTTCTTCTTCTTCTTTAATCCAATCCAACACCATTCAGAAATCAGAATCTTGTGGAATTGTGTATATATCCGGGAAGGACATACTTTATTTTAAAAAGAGAGGGTTAGTACAATATTGTGGAACAGAAAAAAAAAGCTTATCTTAATTGAAGGGGAAGAGAGTCAAAACCAGAGCTAGAGTAGGCCACTTGAGCAATCAAATTAGGATTATAGGATTTAGAAAGTCACACTCCGACATATACAATATACTTAGTGCATGATAAAATTGGTTACGAGATTTTTCTTTTTGGTGAGAAACTATATATGAGATACTCCCAATGTAGATTGTCTCATTATCTTGTTTCAAATATTTTAGAGTAAAAATCAAAGCAATTTTTTTCTTTCTTTTATGTAGATATATACAAACCTAGCATGAGAACTTATATATATATATATATATATATATATATATATATATAATAACATATTTTAGTAGGAATCTTATCATATTTTACCAAAAACCAAAGAATCTTATAATTATACAAATGGACAATTTCTTCATTTTAGGTTGGCACCGTACAAATCGTGTGATTGTAAGAGTTTAAACTAAGTCACACTTTTGAACTTTTACATTTTCGTCGGCCCTCTTCTTGCCGCAAATAAGTCTCAACCTTCAACTCCTCTCTCCTCTCCGTTACAAAGTGTAAAGTGTAAATTTTTCTTCTATACAAACATAATTTATCAAATCAAAATTCGTATAAGGTAACACAAATCTAGAAACCATATAAAAAGTCTCGTACATAAACATCATAGTCTTCGTCTATAAAACAACACCCCTCTTTGAGAAAAAAACATAACCAAAACAATGTACTCTTTGTCATCTGTACCAGAACGCCTCGTTTTGGTCCCTATCTTGGCCGTGGTGGCCATACAACTTCTCCTTATACGCAGCGTTACGTCCTTGAACATGACCAATGCGTATCTCAACCACAAATGCATGGAAAGTCAAGGGAAGAAGATGGTGGTGACAAAGACGGTGGGGAAGGTGACAACGACGAAGAAGACGTTGTGTTGGAAGATCCTTCCCCCTCCGTCTCTCTCCGTAAACATAAGGACGGTTTCATATCCTTGTCGTATGGCGAGCCTCCCAATTCCGTTGCCATCGTATTCCAGTGCCGCGGGGACTCCTACGGTCCCAACTGCCAGTCCTGCTACACCACCGCTGTCGCCGCGGTAATGCCACTTCAACATTCTTAATTACTTGTAACATATTTACATATATAAACTATATATTTGTGCTGTGATGTAAGCGTAAACATTATAGTTTTACTTAGTATAATTTAAAATATAGAAAGATGAACAATGGTTAAGTACATAACCTTAAAACTTATATTAGTGACAAACTGACAATGTGACATGTTTGTATGATTTTCATATGAAGAATCTCGAAGTGAAAATACAGGGGAAAGAAGATAAAAATGAAAATTCGGTTATTTTTTTGTTTATATATTCTGAAAGTTTCTAACAAAAAATGAGTTTGAACTTGATGAAATATAACAAATATGCATATGTATATGACAGCTTCGTCAGAGATGTCCGAGTAACAAAGCGGGAATAATATGGTACGACCAATGTTTTCTCAATATTGGTACGACTGAGACCCCGGTACAACCGACCGATTACGAGAATACTTTCTCTATGCACAACCGTAACGATGTGAGATCGGATAAAGTGTCGTTCAACAAGAAGACGAGGGATTTCCTCACCGGCCTGATGCCGAAAGCCTTGAAACGAGATGCTATCAACTATGTATATTACGCGGCAGGGGAGACAATCTTGGGGGCGAATAAAATTTATGCAATGGTGCAGTGTGCACAAAACGCAGAGCAATGCAAGGCTTGTTTAGAATCGAGTATCAGAGAGCTTTCTAAATGTTGTGACGGTAAACAAGGAGCAAGAGTTTATTTGGGTAGGAGCTGTAACGTTAGGTATGAGCTATACCCTTTTCTTAGGACACAAAAGGATGTTTAATTGATGATGATGTAAAGCACATTTTCTCGAGAATTTTCCAATTTTGTTTTGGTTTGTTTGATAAATATGTAAAACACATTTTCTTGACCTTTTTTGGTTTCGTTTTCTACTTTTCTTCCAAAATTTCCCCTCAATAGTCACCGGATACAGCAACTGAAATCCAAATTTGAAATGAGCTCTAAATGGATTAAGGAAGAATCATGTTGAAATGAAAGAGTTGTACGTACATGGATAAAGTAAGGAAGATTGGTGAGCGAGAACCATAACAAAGTGAAAATAAGAATTGTTGAAGCCATGGAAACTAGATGAGTGGATACTTCCTTGCTTATTTGCACATTGTGTGTGGTTACTAATTTTTAAAAATAAAAGATGGGTAATGTTTATATGTGTATATAGAAGGTTCTTTGAGTGTTTGCAATGCATCAATCCAAGCAAAACAACATATTATCCTCTATTTCAAGGGTCATTTTTTCGTTAAATTTTGTTCTTAGTTCTCTTGTTTGATAGGCAAGAATTTTTTTTACAATAGTTATTGTGTTATCTTTCTTGCACAAAGAAAATTAATAATGTGTTTAGTTTAATTAGTCAATAACTACGTGATCAATACTATAACATCCTTCTTATGCGATTCTTGACTTAACTCGGTAAAACCTTCAAGCTTTGACTTTTCCATCGGCCCTCCCCATCCCTCGCCGCAGATACACAACTCCTCTCTCTCCTGTCTGTTACAGACAGGAAAAATAAAAACAAAAACATTTTTTCTACAAACTGAAATGATCAATTAACTTTTGTGTAAAGTAACCAAAAAGAACATTGTTTTGAGATAATTAGCTAATCTAGTTACCCATAAAGATCCCAATTAATCCCAACGCTTTAGTCATCAAAAGAACACCCCCCACCGAGAAAAAAAAGAACAAAAACAAAACAATGTATTCTTCATGTGCTCAATCCAAACGCCTCATTTCTGTCCATATCTTGGCTATACAACTCCTTCTCGTACGCAGTGTTTCCTCCCTAAACCTTACCAATGCGTATCTCAACCACAAATGCCACGTCAGTCAAGGAACTTATAAGCCTGGAAGTAATTACGAGAAAGATCTCAACTTTCTCATCGGCCGCATTTCTAACGATCCTTTTGTCGACGGTTTCATACACTTATCTAACGGCGAGCCTCCCGTCACCGTCATATTTCAGTGCCGCGGAGACTCCTACGGGTCCACGTGCCGTTCTTTATTTGCCACAGCCATAGCCGAGGTAATCTCAGTTCAACAATATTATATGACCTTCACACATAGGCTATAATTTTGAAAATAACAAAATAGTCTAAAACTAAACTCAAACTTGAAAATTTAACCAAAAATAACTATATACAAGAATATAGTTTATATATAAATCTTAAAAGAATTATAATATTTTCATCTAGATTTTCTTTGCTTTTTTAGTTTTTGCTTAATTTCCTTTCACTAAAATAAATAATCAATCTATAAATAATTAGGAAAAACATAACATAATTTTGCATTGATAACTTATATGTTTCTTATATATATGAATATATGACAGCTTCGTAGGAGGTGTCCGGGAAACAAAGGGGCAACAATATGGTACGACCAATGTTTTCTTGATATTGGTACGATCAATGCGTCCCCAAGGAAGATCGATTACAAGAATACTTTCTCTATGCACAACCCAAACAACGTGAACGGGGACAAAGTGTTGTTTAACAAGAAGACCAGGGATCTCCTCTACGAGCTGATTCTAAAAGCCGATCAAGCCATGCCAAACAGCAACAGTTTGCAATATTACGCGGCGGGGGAGAAGATGATCGGGACAAAGAAATTGTATGCAATGGTGCAGTGTGCGCAAGATATATCTGATTGTAAGGGTTGTTTGGAATGGAGTATCAAGGAGCTCTCCAAGTGCTGTGATAGTAAACAAGGAGGTAGAGTTTTAGGTACGAGCTGTAATCTTAGGTATGAGATATACCCTTTTATTAGGACTTAAAGACTATTTGTTGGTGATGCAGAACACATTTTCTTGATAACAATACAATTTTATTTTGGTCATGTTTATTCTGTTTTTTTAGCTTTTACCTAATTTTTTGTTTCTTTTTGATGTGTCGTTTTTCTTTTTCTTTTTCGTTAGGTTCTAGCTATATGAATAGGGTCAAAACTTCGTTATCCCTACCTTTATTATTGACATTATCCTTCAACCTTTTAATTTGATTTGAAATGTTATCAATAACAAAGAGGCTTCCTTCTCCTCTCCTGTATATCTTTCTTATTTTTAGATAATCAACACACTAAAACCCCTCTCCAGGAGTTGACACATAGGATTTTCCATGTTTTTCTGTGTTGACACCTCATTTATTATGCCTAGCCAATCAGAACATTTCGATTAATCTTAGTCAGCATTTTCGTTGGTTTACTTAGCCACGTAATCGGTCCGGTTTGGTTTATTTATTTTCTTCCCCGACCCAGTTTCGTTTCATACTTCTTCCACGCAAAAATCGGCCATTTCCAATCTCAGAATTCTCTAGCAAGCTTTGCATCAGCCTGAACAAATCTCCCTTAGCTGGCGCGTGCCTCTCTCGATACCTTGCGTTTCCTCACCGATGGACACTGTCTCCGAGTCTCACATGGCTGCCGCAATGGCTTCTCTTAGAGGGATCGGAATCGTCGCTCAGTCATCGATAATTCGCCAAGCCAAATCTCTCAGACATCCGATTGCTTCCGACGCCGGCGTGAAATTCCCGGAGTACGAGATTACTTCTTTGGATGCCTTTGGTCCTTCTTGTCTTTGTCACCCAAACATGTACGAATCATATTCCTTTCTAGGAATCTATCACTGTTCCAATGATTTGACATGAGCTCTGGCTAAACTTTTTGATTGATTTAATCAGGAACAATGACGACTCCGAAATTGTTAGGCTACGTCACGAATTCTCAGTGGACGAAAATGAATTACGAGTAAAGGGAGATGAAGATATACGATTACATGAAGAGCTGCGACGGCAGTGACTACTCTGCACCATGGGACATTGATCTTGACAAGATTGAGGCTCTTTTAAAAGATAAGCAAAAGGCTTTGTGGTTCTTGAAAGACATGGTGAGACTGTGAACGTGGTGACAAAAGACGATATAGAGAGAGTTAAAGGATATCCAAAGTCAGGACCAGGGATTGTAGGTCCAGACGGTGAGTGGATCGTTGGCGCGGCATAGGGACGAGGGAATCAGACAAGGATAGGCTTGAGCATTTGGTTAACGCTGGGTTAATGCTATAGTGTTTGATACCCTGAATTGGATGTGATTGGTGGTAACGTTGTGACGATTGACCAGGCGCAGAATTTGATTCAAGCTGGTTTGATGGGTTAAGAGTTGGTATGGGATCTGGTTCGATATGTACCACACAAGAGGTTTGTGTAGTTGGTCGTGGACAGGTAAAATGAAAAGCTCTGAATCCTACTAAAAGGCTTAAACTTTGTGAATTGTATGACTTTATCAGGTTTGGTTTATTTTGTTCTTTAGGCTACTGCTGTGTACAAGGTTTGTTCAGTTGCTGAACAGAGTTGGATTCCGGTTATAGCAGATGGTAGTATTTCGAATTCAGAACTAAATGACACATGGTAATATTTTCGTTGTTTGGAGAGTTAGGAATTGCAGAATTAAATGTTAATCAAAACCACAAAGAAGATAAAGGGCACATGTTTAAAACTTGACTTGACTAGCTGGAAAACATAATCAAGAAGAAAACCTGCAGCTCACTTAGGGATAATGAACAAGACTTGGAAATTTGAGGTTTGTTCTTGCCTATTATATTATTACAACAGTCATGAGAAATTTGAGGTTCGTTCTCTCTTTCTCTGAATCAATCACCTGTCTTACGGCTGCTGTTTCTCTTGAAGAAAGCGGGACATTAAGTTTTTTAGGACAGGCTAGAAAAAAAAAGATTCTATTTACTTAATCTAAACTTATCTAATGGTGATAATAGTACTACAACAATGCCAAATTATAAACTAATAAAAATAAGAAAAACACAGACAAAAAAGACGGATGGTAAGATGTCACCAAACACTAACATGAAAAATATAAAATTATGATAGCAAAGCAAAAAAACATGTTTTCGCTTAAAAAGAAAAAAATGTATTTTTTGGTTTTTTAAAAACAAATTCGTGTATATATATTTTTTTTACTGATATCCAAAGTACCTATAAAAAGTAATAAATTGAAATTTTATAAAAAGGTAAAATTTACTAAAATAAGAAAAAAATATAATCACTATTTTATATTTTCTTTTTAGATAAAATATAATAATAATGATTTATAAACATAAAATAACCGTTTTCAAATGATATTAAAATAAAAGGAATATATTTTCATTTTACTTTTATATATTCTTAACGATTCTCAGTTCTAATTTTAATTGGTATAAATAATATAAAAATTATAAAATTAAAAAAAAAGAAAAAAAAAACTACCGCAGCGTAACGCGGGTCAAAATCTAGTTTATTTAAATATTAAACTTAAAGCAACATTTACCCGCATTATCAGTCATTATCAGTACTTTTGCAACGACATCTGGAGGCATTTTGTGTGGTGTATGAATCATGCATGTTTTTCGGTGAAGAAAAATAAAAATATATTAGTGGAAGTGTTAGTAAATCGTCAATCAATAGTCAAATTTAAAATACAAGAAAATATATGATCAAATAATGTACAATAGAGACTCTATAAATTAATACTCGATAAATTAATAAACACGATAAATTAATAAATTTCTCCGGTCCCAAGTTGGGCCGGTGTAAAATATGACACAATTCGATAAGATAATAACTTTTTTTAAACTCCTATGTAAAATATGGTCCCAATAATATCATAAATTAATAATTATCATATAAAAACTTATATATAAATATATTTACCTAAGATATCTAGCTACTAAAATATGAATCTCTCATACATCAAACAAATATGGAAACTAAAAGAAACAAGTATGAAAAATGTAAACAATAAAGTAAATATAGAAACATCAAAAAAAGTTAAGAAATATACGTATAAGGAAAGTTCTTATTTAATTTGAAGGAAAATTTAAAAGATTATTATATTGAATTTTCTTTTTTTGAAAAAATTTAGTCAAAATCTATATATTAATAACTCTATAAATTAATAAAATATCAAAGTCCCGACATTATTAATTTATAGAGTTTCTACTGTAATTTATGTTGGTGGTGATACAAACCTTGCATATTTATTGCATATTATATTATCGAAGAAAATAAAATTCCATATCTCAAAATAGTTCAATATTTTTCTGGCGTTAACGTGGAGAAAAATTCGACCAATAAGCGCCCAAGAGCTAGTTGCGGATGGTGACTGGTGAGGTCCTTTCTAAAGAAGTTGAGCTTCATCCCCCCTTGTCGAGATCCTTGAAGAGGGAAGATATATCTACACTCAACAAAAGTATCATCAATTATTAAGCATAACATAGTACTTCTCATAACCTTGAAAACAAGTTCGTTTTTTTTCTTTTGCTAAAAACATTGAACGTTTGAAACATATGAACTTTTTCTTTTTTTTTCTGTAAAAGAGAAACATATGAACTTTGACTTTTTTACTGGCCCTCCCCATCCCTCGCCGAAAATACACAACTCCTCTCTCCTGTCCGTTACAGAAAAAAAAAAAAAAAAAAAAAACATTTCTTCTACAAACTATAATGATTAGAGTTTTGTATAAGGTAACAAAAAAACATCAGTGTGAGAAAACTAGTTAATCTATCAAGTAATGAAGCTAATCAGCTAAAATCCTTCTGAGTCTCCTATATAAACATTCCATTCTCAACGCTTCATTTTTCAGAAAGAGAGAAAAAAATACAGTCCCTGAATCTGGAAAAAAGAAAAAGAAGTCAAAATCTAAAACAATGTATTCTTCATATTCTCGAACAAACCATCTCGTTTTAGTCCATATCTTGGCCATAGAACTCATCCTCATACGCAGTGTATCATCCCTGAACCTTACCAATGCGTATCTACACCACAAATGCCTCCCTAGTGAAGGGACCTATAAGGCTGGAAGTAAGTACGAGAAAGACCTCAACATTATCACCCGTCGCCTCTCTGCTTACAGTTTTCCGGACGGTTTCAGACACATATCTTATGGCGATGCTCCCAATTCCGTCTCCGTCATATTCCAGTGCCGCGGTGACTCATATGGGTCCTTTTGCCGTTCCTGCTTCTCCACCGCCTTAGCCGGGGTAATGTCACTTCAACGTTATATATATAAACTCTATCTTGTGCATGCTCCGCTTAAAGCGTGGATAATATATTCAAGAAAACGCCAGAAATTTTTTATTTTGTGAATTTACTTAGTATACTTAAAATAATAACAAAAATAATAAACAGTGGGGAATAGTAGTTATTAGTGACATATTTACGTGAGTTTTTCAAACATGGGACTTAAATAGATGACAACCTATATGAATGGATATGTATATGACAGCTTCGTAGGAAATGTCCGAGTAACAAAGCGGCAATAATATGGTACGACCAATGTTTTCTCGCTTTTAGTACGATCAAATCCTCCACAAGGGCGATCGATTACAAGAATACTTTCTCTATGCACAACCCAAATAACGTTGTCGGGGATAAAGAGTCGGTTAACAAGAACACGCGAGAATACTTTGATTTTACCCTTTTTGTTTCTTTTTACTGTTTGGTTTCTTAGGTCATGCCTGTAGACTTATACCTATGAATAGGGTCTATCACCTTTTAGTTTGATTACTAATAAAGAGAATTTTGCATAAGGTCTATCACCCTGGACTAATATGATGCTACATGCAAATAGAAAATTTTGGTCTAACCAAGAGGCCTCAGGCCTCTCATCAAGGTTAATTGGTTCTGTTAAAACGAAAAATCAGTTTATTTTACAATAGTCGCAGCGGTCGGTTCTTCCAAACGTGAATTACCAAAGTTTAACAAAATCAAGGACACAGAAGCAAATAACCTAACCGATATGCCTCTCATCCTTTCACTTGATTCCGAACTAGAATCTGCAACTGTTAAGAGTCATGAGCATACAACAAGCCTATGTACATTATTACGCTTATGCATTAAAAACCATATAATTTCTTCGCTAAATAGGCACTTCAGTACTTTTAAATTTTCTTGGTATAAATAGTTTCTAAAGGGAACATTAATCAATAGTTTTTAATTAAATAGAAGAAAATATAAGATCAATTAATGTAGTTTATGTAGTGTTGTCGATGAGTCACTATTTAATTTCAAACACAACATATTAGACATTGTTGAAAAATGATTAAAAAGGCCGGGCCGTGTCATATGTGCATTGAAAATCGACCAATAACCATACGCCGCCACATCATCTGAAAACATTGGGAATTAATATCCACATAACCATATAATTATGTTCTTGATGTATCTTCCTAAGTTTGAAAACACGTTCGCAGAGAGTAATTAAAACTGGTTTTTGCATAAACATATGAACTTTGACTTTTTTTATTGGCCCTCCCCATCCCTCGCCGAAAATACACAACTCCTCTCTCCTTTCTGTTACACACAAAAAAAGAAGAAGAAAAAAATAAACAGTTCGTCTACAAACTGAATGATCAAATCCAGTTTTTTTATAAGGTAACTGAAAAAAGAATATCAATTTACGAATGAAGCAAGTTAGCTGAAATTTCTCCCAGTCTTTTACGTAAACATCCCAATCTTAAAGCTTCGTTTAACAAAACTATACGAAACAATGTACTCTTCATATTCTCTATCCGAACGCCTGGTTTTGGTCCATTTCTTGGCTGTACAACTCCTCCTCATACGCAGCGTTTCATCCCTGAACCTTACCAATGCGTATTTGCACCACAAATGCCTTGTCAATCAAGGGAACTATAAGCCTGGAAGTGAGTACGAAAAAAACCTCAACTTTCTCATCCGAAGCATCTCTACGGAAAATTTTAAGAGCGGTTTTGAAGGCCTGTCTTTTGGTGAAGGTTCCAGTCGCGTCGCCATCAGATTCTTGTGTCGCGGCGACTCCTACGGCTCCATCTGCTTTCCTTGTTATGCCACCGCTGTTGCTGGGGTAATGTTACTCCAACATTAGTAATTTAGCCGTCGGATATTTACATTTAAGAACAAATAATAAATAAATGAATTTAATGCACATTTTTATCATAAGTGACATGTTTAAGTGGTTTTAAACAAAGTGTGAATCAATTTGATGGCAGAAAACATTGTCATGTACATTTCAAAAAGCGTCAGCAAACATCACTTAATTTGACTTTTACGCATAATTTGAATTAATTTGGATACTCGTTTTCAATTTATAAAATCAAAGTAAACAAAATTAATTAGTGTTTTCATGTTCATGCACATACATACTATTCAAGAAAGGTAAATTCACCTGTGTTTGGGCTTGGTTAGAATTATCAACAACTTCACTATGGTTTTTTTTTACCAAATTAAAGACTTCACTATGGTTTGCTCCACATAGATGATCATGTAATGACACTTGGTTCCACTGTTATGGCTTCTTGCATCTTATCGTTTTACATAATTTTGGTTTTACTTACTGCTTATATATCAGTACTCTGTGATAGCAATTAAACATACTAATCATTTCTACAGATCATTTAAAATGAATTAAAAACATATATGCATGTCTATAACAGCTACGTAGGAGATGTGAGAGAAACAAAGCGGGGATAATATGGTACGACCAATGTTTTCTCGAGGTTAGTAATATCGAAATCCCAGTTCCAAGGAAGATCGATCAAGAGAATAGTTTCTCAATGCACAATCCAAGCAACGTGAACGGGGATATACAGTCGTTTAACAAGAAGACGGAAGATTTCCTCTACAGCTTGATCCCGATAGCCACCCGTTCTCCAGGGGCTGGCAACGAACCTATATTTTACGCTGCTGGGGAGACGATGCTAGGGACGAAGAAACTGTATGCGATGGTGCAGTGTACGAAAGACATAGCCGTATGTAAGGGTTGTTTGGAATGGAGTATCGGACAGCTTTCCAAGTGTTGCGTTGGTAAACAAGGATCTAGAGTTTTGAGTACGACATGTAATTTGAGGTATGAGCTATACCCTTTTATGAGGGAGGACTTGAAGCCTGTTTGATGGTGATGCTCGAGACTAACATTCGCTTTACAATAGTTTCCTATTTTGTTTTGGTTTCGTTTACTTTCCAATTTTGTATTTGAGATTAGGTCAAAGTATGTTATTCCTAATCTTTTGGTTTGGTTATCATTAAGACACAATAGCTTTCGTTTCCTCTTTTTTTTTTTTTAATATTCTTTTAACGAATCTAAGAAGGTTTCTAAAAGCGATAATAAAAAATGGCGGGAAAATTGACCAATAACTAGACGCCACATCATCTGAAAACATTGGGAATATCCACAAATCATATAATTATTTTCTTGATGCATCTTCCTAAGTTTGAAAACGCGTTCGCAGAGAGTAATTAAAATGCATAAACATATGAACTTTGACTTTTTTTATTGGCCCTCCCCATCCCTCGCCGAAAAATACACAACTCCTCTCTCCTGTCTGTTACACACAATAGAGAAGAAAAAAAAACAAAAATTTCGTGTACAAACTGAAATGATCAAATCCATTTTTTTTAATAAGGTAACCGAAAAAAGAATATCGATTTACGAATGAAGCAAGTTAGCTGAAATTTCTCCGATTCTTTTACGTAAACATCCCAATCTCAACGCTTTGTTTATAGAAAATACATTCACTCTGGAGAAGAAAAAAGAGTACAAAACTATACGAAACAATGTACTCTTCATATTCTCTATCCGAACGCCTGGTTTTGGTCCAGTTCTTGGCTATACAACTCCTCCTCATACGCAGCGTTTCATCCCTGAACCTTACCAATGCGTATTTGCACCACAAATGCCTTCTCAATCAAGGGAACTATAAGCCTGGAAGCGAGTACGAAAAAAACCTCAACATTCTCATCAAACGCATCTCTCAGGAAAATTTTAATGGCGGTTTTGAACGCATAGCTTTGGGTGAAGGCCCCAGTCGCGTCGCCATCATATTCGGGTGTCGCGGCGACTCCTACGGCTCCCTCTGCTTTCCTTGTTATTCCGCCGCTGTTGCTGGGGTAATGTCACTTCAACATTATTAATTTAGCCATCTGATATTTACATTCAAGAAACACCGGAAATATAGTGAGTTTACTCAGTATAATAATTAACATATAATCAAGAACAAGTTAATAAACAATACTAGAATTTAATGCACATTTGATCATTAGTGCCATGTTTAAGTGATTTCAAATAAAGTGTGAATTAAATATCTGATGTCAGAAACATTATAACACACAACACTTAATTTGATGACTTTAGGCATAATTTGAATTAATTTGGATACTCGTTATTTTCAATTTATAAAATCAAAGTAAACAAAATTAATTAGTGTTTTCATGTTCATGCACATACATACTAGTCATTTCAAATGAATTAAAACATATATGTATATATGTCTATCACAGCTACGTAGGAGATATAATTAATACATTATATAACTAAAATGTCATCAGTATTAGGTCGGCAACGTACGTATCGTGGATCTTAAGAGTTTCACTCAGTCAAATCACCGAACGTTGACTATTTCACGCCCCCACCCTCGTTGCAATAGCAAGTTTCCAAACTCCATCTCTTCTCTCCGTTACATTTCTAATTTATTCTAGAAGCTGAAATTTGAAAATGATCAATCGGATGGACAAAACCAACAATAATGATGTATGATATTTCTGTTTTATCGAAAATCTGTTGAATAGCCAATCAGCTAAATTGACTTTTGTTTTTTTGTTCAAAAGGAACATTCATTCAAGCTTTTACCAAAAAAAAAGGTTTGAAAATGTCCAAATCTCAATCGTACAAAACTGAAGACTTCAACTATTGCATTAATTATTAAATAAATAAATTCAACACCGCCAAAAGTCTCCAGCCACTATATAATCATCCCCAACTTCAAGACTTCTTCTATCAATCCTCCCAAAAGAAACAAATGTCTTCATCCTACTCATCAAAACGCATCGTTTCAGTCTCTGTATTGGCCTTGGCCATACAACTTCTCTTGATACACAGCGTTTTGGGCCAGGACAATGCGTTTCTCTACCACAAGTGCTCTGACATTGAAGGGAGCTTCACGTCCAAGAGTCCGTACGAGTCAAACCTCGATAGTCTCTTTCGTCATCTCTCTTACAGAGTTCCATCCAACGGTTTTGCAACCTCCTCCGCCGGTAAAACTCCAGACAAAGTCAACGGTTTGTCCCTTTGCCGTGGTGATGCCTCCTCCTCAGACTGCGGCTCCTGTCTCGCCACCGCCGTCCCCGAGGTAACTAACCTCGCATTTACAGATATATAGAAACCGTCGAAAGATACTTTTGGTTATTGGATTGTTCTTGATGGTTGGTGTTACGTGACAGATACGTCAAAGATGTCCAAACAACAAGGCGGGAATAATATGGTACGACAACTGTTTTGTCAAGTACTCGTCGACCGATTTCTTCGGGAAGATCGATTACGAGAACAAGTTCTATTTGTACAACGTCAAGAACGTGAGCGATCCTGCGTCGTTCAACGCGCAGACGAGAGCTCTTTTAACTGATCTTACGAAGAAAGCGACTGCTGGAGGCAACCGGAAGCTGTATGCGACAGGGGAGCAAAGCTATGGGGAGAAGAAGTTGTACGGACTGGTGCAATGTACGAGGGACTTGAGGAGCGAGACGTGTAAGGCGTGTTTGGATGGAATTATTGGGGAGATTCCTAACTGCTGCGACGGTAAAGAAGGAGGGAGAGTTGTGGGTGGGAGTTGTAATTTTAGGTATGAAATTTACCCATTTGTTAAGGTTGCTTGATTTTATGTCCAAAAAAAAAGTTGACCAAAGTGAAAACAAGGTCTTGATTTGGTATGTAAATGTATTGTATTGTTGTTTTATGTTTAAATAATGTGTTGAGCCAATAAAAATGTAATCTCCTCCTTTGTGGGTTTTATATGATAGACATTCACAGTGGCATGTTTGAGACTTGCAAAAAAAAAGGTTTGGCAATATATTAAAAGCTTCTGCTAATGTTTCTAGCTAGATGTAATAATATACATGGAAAGTTACATATTGTTGCTATTTTTATGTAATGATTTCAACCCACAAAAGTAGATCAAACACTAGAAAGTCTTCATTAAGACTTTTTGTTCACATGTTGAAAGGTTCAACTCTTTCAAACGGAATTGTATTTGTTTACTAGTTTGAAAATATTATTTGATGTACAAATTTATTTGATTCGCCATAACATTTATTCAACATTGTGTCTTCTAAAAAGACACCAATATACTATAACTGTAACTATGCATACATGTACTTTTTCTTGTAGCGTAACAAGATTGGCTCTAATATATTTTTATATAAAATATGTAAATAACATAAAATGTTTAAGAGAATCAGAAAGAGATAGTTTTTGAGATGCTGAATGGTTTGTTGACTTCAAACATCAACGGATAACTAGCAGAAGATATTGGTCACATGTGCGATGCTGAGTCAATCTGAAGAAGACAGGTCAACGAAGGAGGAGGAACCACATTGCTTCTTTGCTTTCTCCCCATCTTTTATTTGTGCGTTAGCGGCGACCACCATCACCGGCTCAATCTTACGCAAAATATCTTGACTAAAATACATAAATTTCGGATAAAATAAAACACTCAGAAACAAACCAAAGAAAGGTTGAATGCTAAGAATATAAACTCTATAACAATACAAAATATCAATACACTATAATTCTATCGAGATTTTTGGACCTATGTTTTTAATTTTTACATAAGATGAATGGCTTCTTAAGAACTTCTGATTAAGATGTACTCAAATAAACGTCTTACCCTATTGGTCAAATCAAAGATAGAAGCCCGATAGTTATGTTGGACTGTCTGCATATATATAATATAGATAGTTTGACTTGACAACTATATAGTTGTGTTCAATGATGAGATTGCTGGCACTTCATGAGTCATAGGGATCGGTCAGCAGAGTAAGTGATAATCTAATCAGATACGCACTTCTGTATCTGTATAATATGTAATAAGATATACATACTTTGACGACTTGACAACTATAAAATTATGTTCAATGATAAGGTTGCTTGCACTCCACGAGTCCGAGATACGTATAGAGATCGATCAACACAGAGAGTGAGTGATAATTGATAATTCTACTCAGTTGTGAATCTTTTCAGTTAGCATAAATCAAGTAATTAGTATTCATTTCAGTATTGGTAACCAAGAAATTATGACATGCTCACTTTTCTAAGCAAGGGAAAGGAGCATGTTGAATTAAAATATATTAAGGCTGATAAATTCAAGTTTTGGTCTGGGCCCATTTAGTAAAGCCCATGATAAGATTTTTGTTTTGACATGGGATCCATATTAAAACATTTGAAATTTGCATATTAGTAATTTAATACACACAACAATCGATAAAAGTGGCTTCATTTACCAAGAAATTGTTAATTCAGTATCACTAATAAATCAAATTCCCTCAAAATATTTAGGTCTCAGTGTATCACGTATTCACATATGCAAAAAAATTCTGAGATAACCACCAAACTCATGATTAATAAATTTATGGAAACAACAGACCAAAAGATAAAGTAAAGCAAATAATGAAATAGAGTACGGAACAACACTATTTTTGTTAGAATTTTGCAAAAGATGGGTCAAAATTAGTCAGACAATCTCCATGGGATTCTTAACCCATTGACCCACCTTTTGTCTCGTGTTTTTTTCACAGTTACACACATTTGAATTATCTCAATAATGTATTAATAATGGTAATGTCAGAAATAATTACTCTATAGTTTACCAGCAGAAAAAGGAAGATTTGACTGGTGAACGTTGAGACAATGATACTCTCTCTTTTAATAAAGAGCTTTAATTAACTTAGAAGTTAAAACAAACAAAAGGATGCTACTTAACTTCAAACAAAATTATTTAACTTTTTTGTCATAAAGCCTATGATGAAGATAGATTGACAACTCACTCTCCTCATGCGATCATTGGAATTTAGTAAGAAGAAGAAAATGTTAAACATTGGATCGAATCTCTTATCCTATAGTATGATTCATGAGAATTATAATAACGTTTCAGAAAGAAAAACTTGATTTCAAGATTAAAAATTAGACAAAATTATCTAATTAGAAGAAAAAAAACAAACGAATCAAGATCAAGAACTGGCAAGTGAAAACAAAAATGGCGGAATTCACAAAGAAATGGTCAAGATTAGTCATTGACCAGCTTCGCATGCACAGGACCGGGAGTGTTGACGACGGAGCTCGGCGGAGTTAACGGCGGAGGTGCCGATACCGCAGCTGGAGGCGGTGGCGCGATTGATGTCTGAGTTGGAGGTGGAGGCGGTGCGGTGGTTGTCTCCGTATCCGGTGGAGGAGGTGAAAACTGCGGAGGAGGATTCAGATTAGGCGTAGACGGAGGCGGAGGCGAATTCGGGTTCACGATCGGCGCCGGCGGATTTGGAGAAATTGGAACAGACGGGTTTAATGGAGATGATGATGAATCGGGCGGGGCGGGTGGAGAAGATCCGAGAACAGGCGGGTTCGGGTTTGGATTCGGGTTAGGATTAGGAAACGGAGTTATAAAAGGAGAAGTAGAGGAAGAGGAAGAGGAAGAAGAAGAATCGGCGGAAGATGAGCAATAGTCGCCGGAGCAGTCGTGGTGAGAGTGTCGGCGGATGATACCGAAGCCTACGACGAGACCAATGACGACGACGACAGTGACGATGAAAATGAAAATCTTGGTGGCTTTTCCGACATAGCAGAGCATTGTCGTTAGACGTTATCTGTGAGATTTGGATATTCAGTAAGATCGGAACAAAAATTCTCCGACCTTTGTTGCCTGTTTTGTTTTGGTTTCTTTTTTTATATGTATATTATTTTTGGTTATGTCTGAATGACTGAATTTTACAGATGAGATGTGGGGGATTCGGATCTCTCTTTCGTCCTCTTTACTTTCAGTTCACAGTGAATTTAATTTTAGTTTTTCTTTTATTTATTTTTATGTTTTTTAAAGTCAGTTAAACCGAGGGATAATGGGTCACGCCGATGGTGGGAATAAAAGCTTATGGGCCACGTGAAACCCAACATTGGAACGTAAATTATTAAAATTATGTTACAATTTGCTAAATGGCAACATTAATATATTTAATTAAATGTTGATTAGCTATTTCATATTTATTTATAACAATTTTAGTAGCCAATATTGTGCACTTGTTATTTCTCGTACATACACGTTACACACATAATGAGTTCATGACATAACGAACTTTTTCTTATTATAGACTAGTCACCATTATTTTCTTCTCACCAAAAAACTGTTAGATATGCATGCATTTTAGCAGCTTAGTTAGGGAAATCTTTGGCACCATAGATGCTTTGTGATGTAGGACAAAAGATAGATAAAACATCATAATAGAACCTCAATTAAAATCACCTCACTCAATACCAGAAATAGAAGGCAACTGAAATTATTAAACAGAAATAATGAAATATTAAACCAGCAAATGGGAGTACGGTAAACCAGCTCAGGTGACGATGTCTGTGGAAATGTAAAATTCTAAAAGTAGAGCTTAAGAATCATGGGAGAGAGTATTTGGTTTCAGAAACAACATCAAATTTAATCTCTACACTCAAACTACCCTCCTTGTCCAAGTAAGCCTTCGAAATTTTAGATAGAGCCACAAATTCAGGTTGACCCCAGCTGAGTTTTGATTTGGTGTGCCAAGAACTAGCTGTAGCAAAAAAATAGGATGCAAGCATGGTAATATGAGACTACTGAATTCCAAAATGAATATCGCATTAGTCTCATCACACAAACAGGTTTATAAAGAAGAGAAACATGTAAAATATAATCAGTTTTTTTATTACTTACTTTCCTCTGTGACGTGATTGCATCCATATGGGTCTAGAATTCGAAAATGAACTAGCGTAAAAATCTTATCATCTTCCATTAGTGATTTACCATCAGCAAGAGACAGATAAATGGATAACCATTTGTCATTCTCTACTCCGTCGCCCTTGGGATACAATAACAGAGTCCTGGTAACAATAGTTCACACATGTTAACACTTACAAAAGCACCCGGCGCACACAATTACTTGTGTTAGATACATACTCCAAAATCAGTATATTATTAGTCTAAAAGCAATGTTTTTATGTACTCACCATTTTCTTTCTCCCATTGAAAAAATGCTTGATGTGTAACTCTTCTCTTTCAGCTCAGAGAAATTCTTAAGAGTCCAAGAGAACTTGGGATAAGAGAGTTTGTCGTTAAAAGAGAGGATCTCCGAATTGGTAGGAGGTGGAGCAACTATGACATCAACACCAAATTCACATTGATCTCCAAAAATATATCCATTTTTAGGATCATTGAGTGTAAAAAGCGGAAGCACTTGGGAAACTCCCCTCACAGTTCTTATTATATTGAACGGCTTCGATTCTACATCTGGATATTTATAAACAAACATAATTGATCAAGTTATATACATTAAAACCAAATGTACATTTATTGTAACTTGTAAATTATGCATATACCTACCTTGAATAGTAAAGTACTTGTTTTCTTTTTTGTTAAAGATGAAAAACCGAAGATCTGCAAACACCTCGCTTGGTGGTGTGGACAATAGGCTTGTGCTATCTATTTCCACATACATAGATATAAACCCACTTCCATCGTCCTTGTCGTTCCCTTTCGGGTGTATAACCATTCTCCTATAATTATTTATAAACAGTATTTGCATTAGTTAAGATGGCATATATTTTTTTTTTTAATCTAAGGATATAGGAAAATAAAAAGGTTGAGATATTGATAATTTTTATGATGAATTATGAGGAAGTGCAAATCTTTAAGAATTGTGGCAGAAAGTAAACACACAGCACGTACCTGTTGTATCCACCAGAGGAGAAAAGATGGGACTTATATTTTCCATCAGAGGAGAGAGTTGATTTCTCGAGTACGGGGAAATTTTGGATCTTGAGTGAGTAAGAAGAAGGAGGGCGTTCTCTCCAGCCCTGCAGAGTTGTTGAAGACACGTTTGAACACATTATTTTACCCAAAAACGATCTTTGTAAAGAAAGAAAAATTATACAGTATTTGTGATTCAAGATATTCGGAATATTGTTGACATCTACTGGAGAGAGAGAGAGAGTATGAAACGTTTTTTCTTCGTTAAATGGACAAAGAGGACTCTCGGAATTTGCATTCAAGGGAAGGCGAAAGCAATCTCATAATAATGGTATTACTTGGAATATGAATAGTCATGAGTCCATGCATGCGCATGACTCGTGATTCGCGAACTTTTTCACTTGGTTTAATTTGGTTCCTATTGGAGAAAAAAAAAAGGAAAAATGAAAAGGTTGTCAATTGTCTCATATAGTCAACTCACCAACTCTTTCCTCCAAGTTAAGGCCGGTTGATGTTTGGTGTTGGTATTGATATGATAGAATTAAAAGCATTTGGTATTATAAAATTATACATGGACTGATTGACTCTTTCAGTCTTTGATCGGAGTTGAAGTACACCGTCGAAAAGTCTGACGTGGTCTCCCCCCTTCTGGTGGCTTTTATTTCATCAAATCATGTCGTATGTGTTTTCATTATTTGGCTGAAGCAATCAATCTTTGGATTAGTTTTATGCTTTGCATTGATTCTCTCTTGGTCTTTTAGGAAACAAAGAGGCTACAACCCTACGTGAAATGTAATCCTATACTATGGAAACGATGTAAAACAAACTCTGTTTTCTGTACAGTTACGTTTTTGGGATATGGTACAATTATCAAAACTAAATAGAGCAAAAATACTCGGTATGAAACATATCTTGTTTAATCGAGCGAACATATACAATATCTTCAGTACTAATCCCAACTCCAAAATAAATTTATTGAGCCAAAGGTTTTCCTACCTGAACAGAATTCCCTAATTGAACTTGATTTTTCCAAAAGTAAAATCATTAAGAAAAATAAATCTTAATGCATAACTTTTTGTTATTGCAAATTACTCGGACAAAAAGAGAGTAAAAAACAAAGTGGCATATGGGGTAAAGTATGGAGCAGGAGCGCTTAGAAGATGGGAGGGTAAGTGGTCGAAGAAACAACTTCAAATTCGACCTCTACACTCAAAGTGTTTTCTTGGTCCAAGTAAGTCCCCATAAGCTCAGCCATTGACACAAATTTATGGTGACCGCAACCTAGGTTTGATTCATCGTGCCAGTAGATAACTGAAAACAAAAACAATAGCAATAAGTGATATTATTATCTAAGCCTAGATAGATATTGTTATCTCACAACAATCGGTGTCAAGTTAAGAAAGCTATAAAAAAACAAGACAAAATATAGGTTCACTGTTCACATACATTTCTCTGTGATGTGATTGGATCCACGTGGATTCAGAACTCGGATATGACCACGCGTGTAAATCCTCTCATCCGCTACCAATCTTTCATAGTAAGATAGATGCAGAAAAATTGAGACCCATTTGACGTCTGATGTTGGATACACCTTTAGCACCCTAGAGAACAATAGTATGCACATGTTAGTTATAACACTCATATACATGTGCGGACACACACATGACACATGGATATTTTATAAACTCACCATGTCTTTCCTCCAACTGAAAATCTATTAGATGAGTAGATATGGTCTTTCAGCATCAAGACATGGTTGAAAGTACAAGAGACTTTGGGGAAATAGGTCTTATTAAAAGAGACGACTTCCCACTGGGTAATGGCTGTATCAAGCATCACATCAACACCAAACTCGCATTGATCTCCTTCAAAGATATATCCATTTACAGGGTCATTGAATATCTCAACCGGAAGCATTTGTGAAACTCCCCACACCTTCAATGCATTAAACCGCTTCACTTCTGTATCTGTGCATGGGAAGGTATGTGTGTATTCTTATTAATATTTATATATATGGCAAGTTAATGTAGATATATTGAGCAACAATAGTGATATCTACATTGTTGGACTAATTTAAACTATATCTACAATTAATATCACTATAGGTACATACCTTGAATACAAAAGTATTTGTTTAACTTCTTGTTATAGATAGAGAAGGTGAGATATGCAAACACCTCGACTGCGCTGTCTATTTCAATGTACATAGAAATAAATCCACTTCCATTGTCCTTTTCATTCCCTTTTGGATATAAGATTAATCTCCTGTTTTTAGACAAAAAAACAAGACTATATAAGGTTTATATTCTTAAGAAAATAAGATATTAAACTTCTCCGATAGATAACAAAGGCTCGATTCAAATAATCATATTAAGAAAAACATATGTAAGGTGGTCACGATGCAGATATATGAACATGTTTTTTTTAATGTATTAAAAGAAGTACCAGTAGTAGCCATCAGCTGAGAAACGACGAGATTGGTAATTTTCACCGACGAGTTGTTCGAGATTCTGGATTTTGAGGGAATACGAAGAAGGAGGACGTTGTGTCCAGTAGTTATGCGGACTTGTAGAATCTGCTGCTGTGAAGGAACATAGCGACGATGTTTCTTCATCCGAAACTGTAACGACCATCCTTGATGATCAAATCAACCAAAGGCAGCCAGTGATTAATGGTTAATTGTTTTATAAAGTGAGTGTTAAACCAAAAAAACATAATAATAAGAACTGAGATTTTGAGAAACAAAAGAATAAAAAGGTTGAGAGATATTTGACGAAACCTGATCTGGAGAGAGAGAAAGAGAGAACAAGAATTAAGGAAAGAAAAAAAAAACAGAATCGATTACCCTTCACAAAAGAAGAGAGTCACAAACCCTAAAGTCTCAAAGCTCATCGTCATGTCGACGACGTCGTTTCAAACTATCCTCTTCGGGTGGGCTATGGGATTTGGGCCCTTTTGAAAACTGTTTTACTCAAATAAAAGATCGTTCTTTTCAAACTTTTATCAAATTCCATGTTCAACATGGAATTTGCTTAAAACTATATACATACAAACATACGTCATTTAGAAAAATAATTTCTAGAAATCATATCATTTTTTGGTTATGATGTTATTCAAATTTTTAGTCGATTGCAAGTAAAACGATTTTAAGAGACTTCCATTATCTTTTTAGTTACAAATATGGATCAGAACCGGTGCTTGTGGCCCGGTGGTAAAGGACCCTCAGCTGAGGTACCCGCCATCTGGGTTCGAGTCCCGGCCACAACGGATTTAACATCCCTTCCGTTGGGGCGTTGGACCCCACTTGTGAGGATAGTCGGGAATGTGGTAAACATTGGAAATCTGGAGAGATTTCAATCAAATTATAATTAATAAATTTCCCACAATTTTCACGACTTTGTCCGAAGATTCTTCCCATGAATTGCGCTGTCTAGGCTTCTTAATAATGCCAGTAGCGGCTGGTAATATTTGTTAAAATCCTTCTTGCCAAGATATCACACTTGCAGTTGCTCACTTGAAAATTCTCTTTTTTAAGTAAAGCTACTACTTTTTTTGATTATAGCCATTAGTCAAGCCATCCGATTAAAAAATCACAAGTGGAGATTATGTAAATCAAATGAATTCATATACGATTCATATATTCTAACTACGAAAACCAAAAAAACTACCATTCAAGGAATGGTTGTAAATAATACAAAATCAATAACTAAAACATAAAACCACTAATAAAAAGTTCAAAACATTGCATTGTATTGTTTGGTAGATAAGTGATTTTGGTAAGCTGAGCTCAAACGTTGGTAGGGTATTTGGTTGACGAAACAACTTCAAATTCAATCTCCACTTTCAAAGAGCCCTTGTTATCCAAGTACGCCTGAACTTTATCCACGGACACATATTTATCCCAACCAAGGCCTCGCTTTTGTTCTGTGTACCAGCATTTTACTGCAAGAATAGCGGAATATATAAGTAAGGATGCATAGTCAAATGAATATATTCTGCAAGAATAGCGGAATAAAATGGTGAATACACAAATCAAATGAATTCATATACGATTCATATATTCTAACTATGAAAACCAAAAAAATTAAAAACTACCATTGAAGGAATGGTTGTAAATAATACAAAATCAATAACTAAAAAATAAAACCACTAATAAAAGTTCAAAACGTTGCATTGTATTGTTTGGTAGATAAGTGATTTGGTAAAGCTGAGCTCAAACGTTGTTAGGGTATTTGGTTGTCGAAACAACCTCAAATTCAATCTCCACTTTCAAAGAGCCCTTGTTGTCCAAGTACGCCTGAACTTTATCCACAGACACATTTTTACCCCAACCAAGGCTTCGCTTTTCTTCTGTGTACCAGCATTTTACTGCAAGAATTAATAGCGGAATATATAAGGATGCATGCATATTAGGTAAGTATCAATCTTATATATAATAGGAGAGTTGCTCTCTCCATCTAGGCTATCCACATAAGCAAAAAAGTTCATTAAATTGTTTTTAAGATACTTAATATATGACTATTCATATTTTTAAATATAAATAAAAATAAGAAAAATGTACAACTAAATTATTTAATTAATATAAAGTATGTGATAACTTGATGTTAAAAGTTATCAAAAAGTTTGGATATAAGTAAAAATATATTTAACTTGAAATGGTATATATTTACCTTTTTATTAAAAGATTTATCCTACTTCAAAATGTTATGATGTGTTTACAAGTTAAAAAGTTGAATATAAATTAATTAAGATAATAAAAAACCAATGAGAATTAGAGTTAGAGTTTTCTTTTTAAAACAAATAGAAGTCGAGTTTTTATATGTAAATTTAATTGCAGTGAAAAACATGAAAATTTTAAGATTGTGATATGTTTGTTTCCAAATATATTCAATTACAAAACTAACATAATAGAAAATAATCAATGGTCATGAGGCTCATATGCTACCACAACAAAATAGATATGTATAAAAGTATATATATTATTTTTTTCATCCTATTTCGGTGCAAATGCGATTTTACATTATACTTACAAATTTTAACGATGAGTCAAATACATATGCATGTTTATAGTCTAACAAAGTAAACAAACATAATATTTATAACATTCTAAAATGTTAGAAATAGAAAATTCGAGATAAAGTAGGGTGTTAACATCCTAATAAAATAAAATAAAAAGACGCGATGTGAGATAAAGTATAAATAAAACTAAACAAAAAACTATTACAAACAACCCCGCGCTTGCGCGGGGCTTCAAACCTAGTCTTATATATAATAGGAGAGTTTCCTCTCTCCATCTAGGCTATCCACATCAGCCAAAAAAATTCATTAAATTGTTTTTAAAATATTTAATACATGACTATTCATATTTCTTTACCTATATTTATATTTTTAAATATAAATAAAACTAAGAAAAATACACAACTAAATTACTTAATTAATATAAAGTATGTGATAACTTGATGTTAAAAGTTATCAAAAAGTTTGGATATAAGTAAAAATATATTTATCTTGAAATGGTATATATTTACCTTTTTATTAAAAGGATTTATCCTACTTCAAAATGTTATAATGTGTTCACAAGTTAAAAAGTTGAATATAAATTAATTAAGATAATAAAAAACCAATGAGAAATTAGAGTTAGAGTTTGCTTTTTTAAACAAATAGAAGTCAAGTTTTTATATGTAAATTTAATTGCAGTGAAAAACATGAAAATTTTAAGGATTGTGATATGTTTGTTTCCAAATATATTCAATTACAAAACTAACATAATAGAAAATAATCAATGGTCATGAGGCTCATATGCTACCACAACAAAGTAGATATGTATAAAAGTATATATATTTTTTTTCATCCTATTTCGGTGCAAATGCGATTTTACAATATACTTACAAATTTTAACGCTGAGTCAAATTATACATATGCATGTTTATAGTCTAACAAAAGTAAACAAACATAATATTTATAATATGCTAAAATGTTAGAAATAGAAAATTCGAGATAAAGTGGGGTGTTAACATCCTAATAAAATAAAATAAAAGGACGCACGATGTGAGATAAAGTATAAACAAAACCATTGCAAACAACCGCCGCGGGGCTTCAAACCTAGTAATATAAATAGACTAGTCATCAAGTGAAGAAAAAGAAACTCACCAAAAAAAAGTGAAGAAAAAGAACACCAAAATGAACATTATTTATCAATCGTTTCATCATTAGATGAAGAGTTAAACAACAAAACAATAAGATACAGATGTAAATAGTGTTTTATGACATACATTTCGACCCAACGACGTTGTGACTTTCACCATGAGAATCTATAAGACTAATTCGTGCTAGGACGTAGATTTTCTCATCTGCGTTGAGTTCTTCGCTGTCAGCCAACATCAAGAAGATGGACAACCATTTCCGTTCTGTAGAATCGGACTTGGGATACAGCCTTAAAGTCCTATAGAATCATTTTTGCATTTGTTAATGCTAATAAATGCATATATATTAACCTTTGCAAAAAAAAAAAAAGATTTCTTAGACTCCTCACCATTCTCTTCCTCCTATTGAAAACTCGTCTGATGTGTAAAAATTCTCTTTCAACTCAACGAATTTCTTGAGAGTCCAAGAGAACTTAAAATTAGGGCTTTGCTGATCAAAGGAGACGGCTTCCCATTTGGCAAGAGTTGGAGCAACCAAAACATCAACACCAAACTCGCATTGATTTCCCTCAAAGATATATCCGTTTTTAGGATCATTGAATGTTTCAAGCGGAAGCACTCGAGACGACCCCCACACTTTTCTCAGTGCATTGAACCGCTTTACTTCTGTATCTATAAGAATAAGAGTGTGCATATGTATATTGTTGATGAGTAAAGAAAAAGAGAAATAAATATAAATATTTTGAGTAAGAATGTGGTTAATGTGAAATATATACAAACCTTTTAGAGTAAAATATTTGTCTTGTTTCTTGTTGTAGACAAAGAATATGAGATATGCATACACCTGAGTTAGTGGTGTGGCCATGATGTTTGTGCTATTTATCTCTACATACATTGAAATAAATCCACTCCCTTCGTCTTGTGCGTTTCCTTTTGGATATATGACCAATCTCCTAAAAACAAATTCGAGCAAAATTATATAGCCTGTGAAATATTGACCGTTTCTTACTTCCTGTCCATACAATGATGAATTAGTTGTTTGGCCTTCATGGCGCTATATATGTCAACATACTAACATGGTAAAAACACCATACAAATATGTTAATATGATGTCTCACGAATCACAAATCAGATTTATAAATTTTAACATACATAGTACTAATTTAAGTATACAATTAGTGAAAAGAGAGTTGGAATGTAAGTATGCATACCAGTCGTACCCGCCGGCTGCGAAAAAACTAGATTCATATTTGCTATCGGTGAGTTGTGCGAAATTCTCAAACTTGAGGGAATATGAGGGAGGATGATGGTCTTTTAACGAAGAATGATGGTCTTCTAACGAAGAATTATGGTTTTTTAACGAAGAATGATGGTCTTCTAACGAAGAATTATGGTCTTTTAACGAAGAAGTTCCTGCATTAGAGACTGTGTTGCCCATCTTCCATAAAGACAAAGGAATCGGAAAATTGCTGAGAGAAACAATGAGAAAGACGAATGACTAAAAGAAAGAAAAGAAACAAAAATGAGAGAGAAAGAAGAAGCTAGGGCTCTTTACGAAGAGCAATATTTAATGGAATCTCACATTCAAATGTTAATTATTATAATTAAAATGGTTGATTTCCACCACCTACCAATATCTTATACTTGATGCAGTTACATCTTTTTGTGGAGAAAATCTTTAAACTTTCCACTAATTGAATTACTAAGATAAAAGATTTTACATAATCGTCCAGTTAGCTAAGGATAGAGTTCTCTCCATATTCAATCTTTTTTGTCAACCGTATTCAATCCCTATCTGTAGAGAGATGCGAGTATCTATATACTCAATTTACCGTATCCAAAATTGGAGTACGTAAAAGGAATAATAAAAAAAAAACTGAATCTTTGTAGAATATTCGACTTCAAAATAAGTTAAGATTAATAGAAAAAGCAAAACAAAACAAAATCGGTAAAGTTTGTAAACACAGATTAATGCTTCTGTCCTTATCCTGAACATGTAATATTAATTTTATTGAATTGTTTTTAAAAACAATTATATCATTGAAAGATATCATGCAGAAGGACTCGTGAGGTCGCCAAAACCTAATCCCACTAGGAGACAGACAAAAACGTGAGTTTCTTATTCATAATCGTTACTAATTCTATTTCTCTTTCTTTCTGATCTCTCTTTCTTAGCTTTCTCTCTCTCTCTCTCAGTAAGCTGCAACGGAATGTCGAAGACAGAAAAATCATGCGTAGGAGAAGATTCTACGATCACGAACAAGTTCGGAGATCGTCCTCCTTGTACATATTCCATGAAGATCCAAAGCCTATCCGAACTCAAGACTCTCTTCTCTTGTACTGACGGATACAAATCCCGTACATTCTCCTCCGGCAAATACAACTGGTAATTTAGTACTGTAATTATTGGATATATATACACAAACTACTTCTAACAAGATACACTAATTTTTGCATCCTTTTGTAATATCAGGAATCTAGTTATATATCCAAACGGGAACAAGAAGGACAACGGAACCGGATTTATTTCAATGTATGTGGAATTAGATAAAACAAACCTCACGTCCACTGTTTTGGCATATCTCACCTTCTTCATCTACAACAAGAAAGAAAATAAATACTTAACAATTCAAGGTTCGTACCTCCATACCCTAGCTATTTCTTGTTATTTATATATATATATATGTATGTTTTATTGATGAATAATCTGTAACATCCAGATGTTGAAGGGAAGCAGTTCAATGCAGTAAGACCGGTGTGTGGATTTCCACAAGTGCTTCCGCTTGATACATTCAATGATCCTAAAAACGGATATGTCTTCGACGGAGATCAATGCGAGTTTGGTGTTGATGTGATGGTTCCACTTACCAACTGGGAACTTGTCTCCTTTTCTCAGAAGCCCTCTAATCCTAAGTTCTCTTGGACGGTTTCGAAATTCTCCAAGTTGAAAGATCATTGCTACGTATCACCAAAATTCTTAGTTGGAGGAAAGAATTGGTGCGTAGTAGTATAATTAGTTAACTAGTCCTTTGTGTGTGGAATTAATAACATGGACAATATAAAATATATGTGTTAACTATATGAATATGATAATGTTTTTGTAGGGTTCTAAAGTTGTATCCCAAGGGCTACTCTACAACATATAGCAAATTTTTATCTCTCTTTCTGCATTTAGCTGATGGTGAAACATTGAAGGCCGGTGAAGAGATTTACGTGGGAACGGATGTGCGAATTCTGGACCCAGTTGGATGCAGTCACGTGTCATGGAACAGTAAGTCGTAACGTTTTAATTACCATTTGATGAGATTATAGATACGATATATGTCATGTACGTGTATATTTGTAAGAGATTATACATTATTTACTTATTTTTGTAGTGAAAGTATGGTACAAGAACGTGAAAGGTTGGGGTTGCTATGAGTTTGCGTCTTTAGATAGACTTCGGAAGAGTTACTTGGACAAAGAAGGATCTTTGAAAGTGGAGGTCGAATTTGAAGTTGTTTCTACCACCAAATACTCCTCATGAACATCTCTACATGGTCGAATTTGAGATTGTATAACACAATCAGTTTTTTTTGTTTTTGTTTTTTAATATTATTCATCACTTACGTTATTTTTATTTTTTTCAGATTATAGTGTTTATCTTATAGTTTGTTTTTTTTACCTTTGGGTTTTTCAGAAAGAAAAAAAAAAACAGAAATTCATCAAAAAGACGTCTTTTATTGAGCTCTGCGCTCACTTACGTTAATTTGCTCAGGTTTCGGTTTAGTTCGGCTATTGCTTTTATCTTGATCTATAAATCAGAAACCATACCTTGAACCGGTTTCATCAATGTTAGCTGGACAAATTAAAACAAAAAAATATAACATTTCACAATTTAAATACATTTCGGAATTCTCTCCCCATCGTCGTCTCTTCGTTTCTCTCACCATCGTCTCTTCGTTTCCCTCACTCTCTCTCTCTCTCTCTCTCTCTAAAAGCTGTAAGCGTCTCTTCGAAGCTCAATCTCCACGACAATGGCGGTTCCGATTGACTTCCTCATCAACTCTCCACACGAATCATCCGACGACGACTTCAGCGAATACGAAAGTAGCTATTCATCGGAAGACGAATCCATGGAAGACGAACCGTCGGATGACATCAACGGAGGATCTCTCTCCAACCTCGAACAGAAACAAGGTACATATATCACTCTCTCTCCTTTTATCTCCGTTTTCCACCATTTTTACGCCTAACGAAGCTCGCGCGATCGTTAAGAAATCCTCTGGTAATGATCGTTGCGTCAAATCTGAAGGAAACTGATACTATTCTCTGATTCTGTGTATTCGAGGAAACCAGATTCATCATATTAACAAGTGATATGTATATCGTAATCTCTGATTCAATGTTTTGTGATTGATTTTACAGAGCCTAATGGTGCTGAGGATGAGTTATGGGTTCGGTATCCTTATTTTAAGATGTTGGTGGACGCCGTTATAGCTCAAGGTTTGGTGGTGGTCACTAGGAACGATGCGTTTGAATTAGCCAAGCTTCTCGGAGATGACAAGGCCAAAGAGCTGAACGAGAAATGGAAGGATTTGTGTAGCAAGCAGCTGGATCTGTGCAGCCAGATGTTCGGCGTCCTTGCTTCTGCCATCTCCTCGATGAAATCCGGAATTTGATAAGACCGACCTTTGTGATGATTTTCATTATTTCTATGAATCTTTGGAAAACTTATTATGATATTGTTGGTCGCTTTTTTTTTGTCCTCGAATGCTTTTGGTTTTTTGATCGAATCGTTATGGAAGAAGAGTAGTTCTTAAATACTATATTCAATCAATCCGAAACTTATGTACAATATTGAAAACGATGATGATTGAAAACTAGAAATCAATCAAAAGCAATCGCTTGATAGTTGATACTATAGCTTATATCAAACTCTGTTTTCACCGCCATTAAAACGCTATGTAGCTTTCTATGATAATTTAGATCAAAAAGAGGAAAGTAAAAAAAAAAAAAAAACAGAGGAAAAACCAAAAACTTAGGATTGTTATTTCTTCGTCGGCGCGTGATCTTCAATCGCCGGTCCGATGTGTTTTCTCAGAGGTTTCTGGCCGATTGAGCAAGCATCTTCACGGAAAGAAGCTGTTCGTACGAGAAGACGCATTCACCGCGCGTGGAGAGCACGGTCCGTGCGCCTGGGGAATTTGCGAGCACCTGCAGAATCTGTTGCCGTGTCAGGGATTTGAGCAGATCGGATTCTCCGAATTCTCCGGCAGTGCAGTAGACGGATTCGAGAGGCATCCAGCGGAGCGCGGAGATCTGAGACTGGAGAAACTTGATGTACTTGTGAGCTTCCTCGAGAACCGTAGCCAAGCTCATCTTCTTCTCCCACGGCATGAGTTTCTCCAGCGACCTGATTTTATCGGAGATCTTCTTCCGCCGGTCACCGCCGAATGTCGCCTGAGAGGAAGACCGCGCCGGAGATTTGGAGTTCGAAGAGGAAGACGGCGATGGGGAGATGGTGAAGGTAGAGCCGACACGGCGTCGTTTCTCGGGATGAGGAGGGGAGAGAGAGAGAAACGGCTTCGTGTTTTCCACGGCGGAGACGTCGGTTGTGGTGTACTCGAAGGATTTGAGATCCGGCAAGTGGAGAAACGGTGTTGCTACGTCTTCGTGGAAGAGCTTTCCCAAACGAGTCGATTCGGAGAGGTGGTCGCGAGTGAAGAGAGACAGAGCCGAGTCGAGGAATAGCGAGTCAGCACTTTGCTGTTGGAGCTGGAGAAGGTCTTGGTATTGGTCGGAGAAGGTGAAGCCGCCGGTGGAGAGAGTGAAATCGGAAGAAGGAAACGGAGCTAGAGAGTCGAGAGGAGTGATGGTGTAAGGATAGTTTCTGGAATACTCCATGGAATCGAACTCTTGTGGAAGTGGAGGTAACTCAGAGAGGGAATCGAACTCGTACCCAAACTCCATTTTTGCAGAGAGCGAAAGAAAACAGAGAAGGAAGAAGAAGAATGAAGCGAGAAGGAGAGAAAAAGGGAAGAATATACAGAGGAAGAAGAAAGAGAGATAACGACGTGGCGTATTGTCATTGGATGGAGAGATAAAAGAAGAAAAAAAAATCGAGTAAAAGGAGAAACAGATTGACATGTGGCGATTACTGATTGGGTGAGCAGAGAAGGCGGCGACACGAGGAACGATAACGATTCTGTTATACGAACCTCTGAGGTTTTTGTCGACTGTTTGTCTCTCTCTCTCTCTGCCAGGCGGTTTCAGGGTTTGTACTGATTTAATATGGACCGTTGGATTGGGTCTTTGATCGGATGACACCGATCCCGGAGACAGGAATTTTTGTTGGGTAGTGAAACAAATTCTGATTTACGGATTTGGGGCCAATTGAAATGATGTTGCTAAAAAGGTTTTTCGGGGGCGTAGCTCTGCTTTACACGTGTTCTTCTCCAACCGTGATTGCCATGTGCCAAACTTTCTAAGTAAATAAAATTTGAATTTTTTGTTTATTGGTACAGTCTGAAAAACAAAATCCATCACTTTACGTGTAACAGTAAACAAGAGCAAGAAATTGTTTGAAAAACTAATAAATTTCCGAAAATAGAGATGTTGATATGCCTTTTCTCTTCATGTTGACTATTAACTGGGCCTATTAATTTACAAAATATTGGAGAGACAGTCGAGAAAACAAAAAGAAAAAATTGGGAGAGAGTCCATTTGGCGCTCAAGGGGAATAAGTGAATAACTTGAGCGCTGGTAAATTTCTTCAACCTTTCGTAATTCGTCGTATTGACTGTTAAAATTTAAAAAGAACAGAAAAACATTTGAACCCGAATCTATTGATTCTTTCTGTATGGGCCATGATGTTCATTAAATGAATCAGGTGGATTATTATTACTTGGGCCATGTATTGGCCTTTGAATAAATACAAAATTTAAAACTTGATTTTTAAAAGATTACATGAATAAAAAATTCATTTGGATTTTGAAACAAAGTTTTTTTATTATAAATTCATGTGGATTTCCAAATCAAGCAAAATATACTAACAACTAAAAAACCCTCAAAAACTCTCAAAATAATGAAAAACGGTCCAAGCATTAAGCATATCATTATATCACAGTAATTCAAGCAGAAGAATGGAAGATAACTGATATTCTAGAAATGGTGCATCTATCAAGGAGAGTATAGCAAACAAAATCTGAGGTTTAGACTGTTTAGTAATGGGAATAAATAATGATGTATCTTCTAAACAGAGCTTAGGTGGTGAAAGAATACATGGTCGCAGAAACATAATATACTTCAGAAAGCAAAGAATGGTCCTGGACCTCCTGGTGGGTCTGATTCCCAGAGATCTACTTTTATTATCAGTGATGTCTAATATATGTATTTAACATATAAGTTGGTGAAAAAGTATGTTACAAACTTTTATGCAATGATCCTCCCAACGTTTGTAATCTCAAAAGTATACAAAGGAATAAGATTCGGAATCCCTCCGGAACAATTCAAGCAAAAGGTAGGAAATGAAATTGTATGACCCCATGATCCAAAAACTCTCCCAAAAGAAAAAGAACAATCTAATACGTATGCACCGACGTTGACGTAACACACATGTATATTAGTTGTTAATCACCAGTTTAACTTGACAGCAAAAAAACAAAATCAGTAATTGCTATGTATTGGTGTGTGGTTACATGTTTCCATCGTTATGCATAGCAATATACCAACAAGTTAAGAATTTTAGAAAATGAATTTAGTAGGTATAGAGCATAGTAATCGATGGGCTTTTTTCGCATCTCTAACATACAAAAAGGTATATAACCGTAGACACTTTGTTAGGTTCCACACCACGTGAGCAATATTGGTGTCACACGTAAACCACCTTAACACTTGATTAAGCCTCAACAAAACTGAAATCATTGTAAATCAACTAACAAGAAATTCAGTTTCAATATGCCTTGAATTTCGGTTCGGCTGTTAGGAAATAATGCATCTCAATCAATTTCACAATTTATTCGACCAATATTTAACACATTTATATACGTTAAGATGACTCGTAGTCACACTCATATTAGTGTGAGAAATAAATAGCTCATACTACTGGGCCTTCCAATGGGCCAGCAGGCTAATATTTGTAAATACCTTTTCATATGAGGGGTAAAAGTGTCAAGAGGATAGTCACGTGATCCCCGTTCCATGGCTTTTCTGTTCACCACGTTACGAGCTTCGGTGCATGAGCAGTTGAAGACCACCTCACACAGACACAGTCACACTTTTATTTTATTTTATGTTTTCACTTTTTGTTAAGAACACATTCGCTGATTCACACTTTCTCTTCTCTTGTGGCGGTGACTCGTTTATTAAACAATGATTTTTTTCTTGTTATTTTCCAAATGCGTCTAACGTAATAATATTAATATCGGCTTTCGGATATTAACAATCGCAAGATTATTCCATGAGGAAAACCAACCACTCACGAGACATTTCGCTAATCGAGAGGCTTTCTTGCAAATCTTTTTCGTTACATGTCTCTATTAATACAGCTAGGATTCACAATTACAAAAGGAGCTATATAATTGAAGGGCATTAAATATACGACTAAAGACCATTTAGTGGACTCTTATCTTCCATAAAAGAGTACTCTTCGTGCATGAAAACATTTGGTTTTGTAGTAGTTATATTACCTTAGAATTTAAAAATATGAAACAAAATATTACTGTTTAGGTAAAAAGAATCAGCTTAATTGGAAATATTTCTTGTAGCTTAATTGAAACTAAATCCACATGGGTTTAATTTCTGGTCGAAGAGATTATAGACCTACCACCTAAAACCCACTAGCTTTCTGGTTACCAAACAAGAATCCATTTTCTTTTACTATTTCGCAATTCTTAATAAAGTTTGATCTATTGTTAATGAGATGAAATTATCCACAAAATATGAATAAACTTGATTAGAGAGAGATAAACAAAGCATGATGAAAAAAAGAGGAACATGGCCTAGAAAGCTTCACCATTTTGGCTTATACTAATGTATAATTACCTAAGAAGAAATAAATGATTAATTACTGATTGGATCAGCTGATCAAAAGGTTAAATGCCTTGTCATAATCTTTACCCCACATGAAGAGAAAAACTTTATAATAATAGTGTACGAAATAAACAAAATATCCTTTATCTTTTTCTAATTGTTTTTAGCAAGAATGTCAGAATAGGTCTTCCCTCTTCTCTCTCTCTTTTCATTTGTTTCTTTGCTTATAATATCTCAAATCACACAGTGACTAGAGTGGCGTTTGTTTGGACACGCCTTGGTTGCTTGCTCTCTTTTTCTTCACTTCTCTAATAAAGAAAAACTCACCACTAATTTGTGGGTGCTTCTCCAATTGACTGGACAGACAACCAAAAGAGAGAGTCTCACTTATAAATCTGACAATCAGAAAACCAACAAAACTTTCTTGCTCCTTTGCTCTTTGTCTTCTTTCTCTTCTCAGCATAAATCCACTTCCTTCTCTCTCTTCCCCTCCTCTTTTTACCACATTTCTTTTCTTCTTTAGAGAGAGAATCTTGTAATCGAGGTTTTTTTGGGTGTAATTTTAGTTTCTTTCTTGTTTTTGGCTATGGAAGTTTGCTCTGATCTTGAAGTGGACATCAACGGAGAAGAAACTGTCTTTCTCAATAAGGTAAACTCTTTCTCTCTATCCCTCTCTGTCTTCTTCCTCTACACAGCTTAATTAAGCTTAAAAATTCCAAACTTTAACCATTTCTCAATGTTAAATTTCAGTTTTTTCTTATATGGGTCTCTCCAGTTTCCCTATAGTTATTCTTTCTCTCTAGCGGTGAATGTTAATTTCGTCAAAAAGGAAGAAGTTCATATGAGTTCTAGCTAATTCTCTGCATCAAGACTGTAAAAAATGGATTTTTCATATTAAAAGTACTTTTTTTTGTGCGTATGTGCTCTGTTTTGATTCTCTGATAATGTTATTATGGCTCACGTAGGGTGTGTGACTCTGCTACATTCAGCATTTAATGTTCTATCACCGAATTGCCTTAAAATGAGGGCACACAAGTTTCTTTTTCTCTTCTTTTAAACCAATCGCTAATTTGGAATCTGTAAATGATTATGTCTGAGTCTCACAGTAATGTAGAGAAGCAGATATGTCTCCATCACACCATTTATTGCAATTTTTGTTCTTACCGTTGCTCTGACTTTCTCCCATATTCCTCTGCAAATCGACAAAATTTTAGGAAGAGAAACTCGTTGAAAAGAGGTTAAGAAGTTGCTCTGTTTTCGGATACTATTCACTTCCCTTACTTGTTGTGTGACTCATGAAGATTTGACATTTACTTACATGATTGAAGACACAGAGAGTCCTTTTAATTCCTCCTGTCTTGTAATAAATGTTCATCATTCTCTTCTCTGCCTTTATTCCTTCACAAACAGTAAAATGACTTAAAAAGTTCGAAACTTTTTTACTTTCTTGTGGGGTTTTTCAAGATTCAACTCAAACCTGTTTACTTACTTTTGAGTTTTGTGTTTTGATTTCAGCGAATCATTTGCAAGTACTCTGAAACACTGAGGAAGCTTTTGGGGAAATCTGCTTGTTCCAATGGAAATCTCAAGGTGATCTTCAATGATTTCCCCGGAGGAGCAGAAAGTTTCGAGCTTGTATCAAGATTCTGCTACAGTAACGGTCAATTATCTGTGATGCCTTCGAATGTAGTCTTCTTGCATTGTGCTGCTAAGTTCATGGAAGTTTCCAAAGTCTTGGAGCAAACAGAGAAGTGTATGGAAGAAATTCGGTATTGGTCTTGGCCAGAGCTTCTTCTTGGTCTAAAACAGTGTCAAGAGCTTGAAACATCGTCTGAGGCTGATTCTTTAGCAGCCAAACTGATGGATGCGCTTGTGGAGAAACTGTTTTTCACCGTTGAAGTGAGTCCCTCTAGTGCTGCTTCTGCTTGTTCACCAGATAGCAGCTTGTTTCGGTTCTCTTGCGACAGCAAAAGCACAGAGAGTTTCAAGAACAGCTGTGCTCGGTTAACTTGGTGGTTCGATGAGGTTCTTGTTTTAAGTCTTGGCTTTGTTGAGACGTTCTTGAAGCTGATGGTATCGCGGAGATTTGATAATCTTGTGATCAGTAGGTTCTTGTTCTATTACCAGAAGGTCAAGTTTTGCTCTGCGTCGTCTGCTGAGAAAAGAAGGATTCTTGAAACCGTCATTGATACTCTTTGCGTGTTGGATCGAAGCTGTGTGCCTTGCAAGAGCCTTTTCGGGGTTTTGAGGCTCGCTCTTGGATTGAACATAAACAAAAGCAGTATGAACAAGCTGGAGGTTATGATTGGTCAGCAGTTGGATCAAGCAACGCTTGACAATCTTCTTGTTCCGTCTCCATTGAAATCAAGTCACTTGTACTATGTGAATATTGTTCTTAGATTCACAAAAGCCTTCTTGGAAGGAGGAGCAAGAGGAGGATCGCAATTGAAGAAAGTCTCAAGCTTGATTGATCAGTACATAGCTGAAGTAGCACCTGATCCTTGCTTGAAACCTTCAAAGTTTCTGTCTCTTCTCACACTTGTTCCTGATTCAGCAAGAGAGTCTCATGAAGAAATCTACCGTGCTATTGATATGTATCTCGAGGTATGTTTTCAATCATACTCAAAAGGGTAAAAGAAAGTTTTGATCTTTATCACATAAATGACATTTTTTTTCTTTGGCTTGCTCAGGCTCACACAGGATTAACCAATGGTGAGAAACTCAACTTGATAAGAACATTAAGTTACGAGAAGCTTTCAGTGGAATCAAGAGCACACATGTCTCAAAACCCAAAGTTCCAGGCGATTGAGACACTGATTCCACAGGAAGCAAAGATGATGAGAAGATTTGCAGATCAGTCACCAGATGAACAGAGGAAGCAGCTCATACTCCGAGTAGAGAAGGTGGAGATTTCAGGAGAAAGTGAGAATTTAAAAGAACACATTGAAGGGATACAATGGAGGGTAATGGAATTGGAGAGAGCGTGTTTGAAAATGCAGACTCAGATGGAAGTTATCAAGAAGAGATCCAAGAACTCAAGCAAAGGAAGCAACAGATCACTTCCTAAGCTCTGTTCTTGATTAGTGCTTTGCTGGTAAACAAAAGCTGTAGCTTATAATGATGTTTGTACATAAGAGTGATAGAGAGCGCATAAGGAGAGTCAATTATAATTAAACATTTGTTTCGTATTAATCAAGGCTTTTATCTTTTCATTTTTGGTTTACTGTCAACAAAGTATTGTGTTAGTAAAAGTAAATATAAGATCATCTTAAGGAAGAAATGCTTACGTTCTTGAATACTATCAGATAAAAGTCATAACATATTGAAATTCCAGTTTCATCGCCAAAGTTAACTTCAAAGGAAAGCAGTAAAAGAGAGAGCTACAAGATAGAGAAAGGAGAGACACACACAGCACCAAGGAGAGATAAGTCTCAGCCAACGAGTTTGTGCTCAGGAAGATTCAGCAGCGGGCTGAGTCACACCGTGCTTGACCAGGAGCTTGCTGAGCGAGTCAGGCGAGTGAACATGGTACTTAACAGTCCCTGATGGAGTCAGATACACTTCAGACAGCTCTAGCTTCTCGGATGTCAAGCTCGTGCTGTCCATCGTCTTGCTCAAAACCTTCAACGCAAGCTGGACCGCCTCTTCCCTGGTTCCATCATCCTTGTAGTCTTGTTTCAGGATAGACTGAGCAGCCTGGTTGTTAGCTCCAATGGCTGCAGCTTTCCATCCACCATAGTTCCCACTCGGGTCACTCATGTATAGCTGGAATCCGAAGTTCTTGTCCCATCCTGCAAAGAGAAAGGAGACTCCAAACGGACGAAGACCACCGAACTGCGTGTACCCCTGTTTAGTGTCACAGAGAGACTGAACCAGCTGCTCAACAGGCATGGGCTCTTGGTACATGAAGGTGTAACGTTGAGCTTGGACTCTAGCGGTGTTGATGAGAATGTTGGCATCAGACATTATCCCAGCGACGGCACATGCAACATGGTCATCGATCTTGTACATTTTCTCAGCTGAGGTCGAGGTTTGGAGAAGCTTTGAGGTCACTTTCTTCTCACCGATCAACACAACACCGTCTTTGGATAAGATTCCAATAGCAGAACCGGCGTTTCCAATAGCCTCCATTGCATACTCAACTTGGTAGAGACGACCTTCAGGTGAGAAGATTGTGGTACGACTATCATATCTCCGAGACATTCTTCAACAGCTACACCAGAAAAGGAAAAACAAGAAACGCATTAGTACAAAGTTTATGCATTTCTAAATAGATTGAAGATCAAATCCTGTTCTTAAAAGACTGAGCCTACTATGCAACTGGACAGATAGCAATAAACTCATAAGTTTCTCAAAACCTTTGACAATAAAGCAATTGAATCTCTCAAGTTTCATACTCAGATAAATCAAAGAAATTATCAAACAGTATAACTGCAAGCATAAAACTTTAGCTACATCTGCATTATCATAGCCAAAAACTGAGGCAAACAAGAAGCATTGGCGACGAACACTGAGCTCGTTCATTATCCCTTAGAAAAAGGACACCAAAATTTAGGGTTTTTGACACCACAGCGATCAAATTCCGATTCAAACCACAAGCTAATCTAAGTGAGGTTTATACAATATGAACGGGGAAGATAAGGTTTATCAATCTCTGTTACTTTGAGATCAACACAAACATTAGAAATGAAATCAAAGGAGGGATTTTGAAAGCAGTGTTGGTCTACGAGAGAAATCGAAGAAAGTTAGCTAGTAGGAATTTCAGTAGAAAATCACTTGATGATGCCTAAACTATACAACCCAGAATCGCATCTAGCTAAAGTTTATCTTTGCGGTCTAATTCCATTCAAAATTTTGAAGATTTCATAGCAAACACTACGCTCAATACAGATCCAGCAACTCAAATTCATAAAGGAAACAACGATACTCAGATTCCGAAACGTTTACGACTAACTGGAATGAAAATCGGATTGGATTTGAGAAAATCGAACGAGTGATTTTACCTGGAAAGATGATTTTCTCTCACTCTCGTTTCGGTTCTTCTTTGATTTTGCTGAGAAATTAGCTCGATTAAAGGCGATGCGAAGTTGCGAACTTGTTCTACAAGACAGAGTAGAGAAGAAGAGAAAAATGGACTCTTTCTGTTTTATCGATTAGGCCCAAACATGCTCATAATGATAAGAGTAAAAGCCCAAATTATAAAAAAAGAAGCCCAATACAAGATCATAACTTACTAGCTATTCAAAAATGCCAAGTAAACTACATGCCAATCTGCTTCATTTTACTCTCTTTGAAGTGGTCAATATGATATCTTTTCGCCGCAAGAAGTGTTCTTGTTTGATATTGATATGCATCCTAAGGGAAGATGCTAATAACTGTTGATGTTCAAGTTGTGTTTGCAAATGAAAAAAGCAATCAAAGTTTTGTAAAAAGCTCTTAGTTGAGACTAGAGTAGAGAGTGTACTACATGTTGTCCGGGAATATAAAGGAGAAAGATCCAGAGGACATTGAAATAACAAGTGAATGAATGTATTACGAAATGGTTTTTCAACTCCAATGACTTAAGGTAAATACTAAATTGATAACATTGTCGAATTTCTAGTTTCATCATCATCCATAGTTAACTTCAAACCAAACGGAAAGCTGTAAAACAGAGACCTACATCACAGAGCCCAGACACCATACCAAGCGACTAAGACCAAGAGATAATACTGCTCAGGATGATTCAGCAGCGGGTTGAGTCACACCGTGCTTGAGCAGCAGCTTGGTGAGCGAGTCTGGCGAGTGAACATGGTACTTAACAGCCCCTGAAGGAGTGAGAAACACCTCAGAAAGCTCTAGCTTCTCAGATGTCAAGCTCGTGCTGTCCATAGTCTTGCTCAAAACCTTCAACGCAAGCTGGACCGCCTCTTCCCTGGTCCCATCATCCTTATAGTCTTGTTTGAGAATAGACTGAGCCGCCTGATTGTTTGCTCCAATGGCTGCAGCTTTCCATCCACCATAGTTCCCACTCGGGTCACTCATATACAGCTGAAACCCAAAGTTCTTGTCCCATCCAGCGAAAAGAAACGAAACTCCAAACGGACGAAGACCACCAAACTGTGTGTACCCTTGCTTTGTGTCACAGAGAGATTGAACAAGCTGCTCCACCGGCATTGGCTCTTGGTACATGAACGTGTAGCGTTGAGCTTGGACTCTAGCCGTGTTGATGAGAATGTTGGCATCAGACATTATCCCAGCAACGGCACAAGCAACATGGTCATCGATCTTGTACATTTTCTCAGTGGAGGTTGAGGTTTGAAGAAGCTTTGAGGTGACTTTCTTCTCACCGATCAACACGACACCGTCTTTTGATAAGATTCCGATTGCAGAACCGGCGTTTCCAATGGCCTCCATTGCATACTCAACTTGGTAGAGACGACCTTCAGGTGAGAAGATTGTGGTACGACTATCATATCTCCGAGACATCTTTCAACACCTACACCATAAGACATAACCACAAATGCATTAGTCCAAGTTTAAACTCAATGGTTTCCAAAAATGCAAGGTAGCAATTGAATCTCCCAAGTTTTACACATAGATTATAAAGCAAACAAGAAACTTTGCAAACAGTTAAAACTCCATGGAAAGAAAGCTAGCTCATTGCAAGTTTTAAGGAATCTGCAAGCAGAAAACTTCAGCTACATCTGCTTTCGCTAAACTGTGGCAAACAATGAGCATTGAGCTCATACAAAGGCCGGTTTAGAAGAACCCGAGATCAGGGTTTTACATCACGGCGATCAATTATTCCGATTAAAACCAGACTAATTTAGGTAAAGTTTCAGCATTTTAAGCATTTGAACAGGAACAATCAGGTATTCAATCTTTGTTACTTTGAGATCGACGAAAACTTCAGAAAAGTGAGGGGAAAATTACCTGAGAAAGAGTGAAATAAAACTAAACAAACCTATAATCGCATCTAGCTAGGGTTTATCTCTCCGGCCTAACTCTATCAGGATTTTTGAAGATTTCATAGCAAATAATGAGCTCAAACTAGATCCAGCAGCTCAGATTCATTCATGAAACTACGATACTCAGATTCTAATACGTTTGGGGATAACTAGATTGGAAATCGGATTGGATTTGAGAAATTAGAATGAGTTAAATTTACCTGCAAATAAGATTTCTTCGAACGATGGATCTTCTTTGATTTCGCTGAGAATTTGCTCGACTAAAGGAAGCGATTCGTGAGATGTGAACTTGTACGAGAAGCCAAAAAAAAAAAAAAAACGAGAACTTTATTTTTACTGTTTTGTAATTAGGCCGTAGCTGCTCCAAATATGTACTTATTGGGTATGGTGAAAGTCCAAATTATAAATTGGAACCCAGTTGTCTCTTCTTTCTGCCTGACTCTCTCATATGGTAATTTTTTTTTTTTTTTTGGTAACCAGTATTGTGTCTTTATACGTTAATTTCCAATTTGTATCTTCTCTCTGTATATCTCAAGATTCAAATATGGAAGATTATATTTATTAGCTACCCATGGAGGCTGACGCTGTAGCCCTGCAAGGATGGCATTACTTCAGATTTACAAGTTGCTTCAACGCTTTGCGGCTACACGCCTACACCACTATCTTCATGCTGGAATCATTTGGATTACTTCACCTATATCAAAGATATTCTAAATCTAATTGGAAACAACATGTTTACACATTCATGAAGATCATCAAGATCAAGGGAAGCCAACAATATCACTGATGTACTAGCTAGCTAAGCAAGCTCGAACGAATCTCCTCAGGTATGTAATTTGATTGAACAGTGTATCGATATCTTAATATTTGTATAATAAAGTTTAAGTTACCGACACAAAAAAATAGATACAATTTGCTAGGATATATAGTATATATCACGTGAGTATATATCATGTTTATCAAGAAGAATACCTTCTAGTTTTTTTTTTTTTTTTAAATGTAAAAACAATAATACATTTTCTTTTCTTTCTTCAAATTTTTTTGTCAACAATGGAGACGTTAAAACGCTTGCACCGTGTGTATCATTTAAAAAAAAATGTATTATCTACAAACTACATGTTCTTTGGTGAATCACCGGTATAAAATTGTAAATTACTAAATTTATGCTTTATAAAGATTGCAGATATGTAATATGCTGTATAGTTATGATATCATACTGAATGAATTTAACCCCAAAAAAATGATATCATACTGAATTTTATTGTGTATGAGTATGATATATCCCTGTCAGTGTACGTTTAATCACGAGACGTTAAAAAGGCAAAATCTCTACAGTTTTACGGAGTTACTTTTCTTTAATTTTTAATACATAAATCAAATGCTGTAATCATCTATATGATTGAGACATACGTAGGCACGTATGATTGACCTTAATATTTAATATTTTGAAGAAAAAAACAATGTAGTTTTCGTATAGCGTGATATATACGTGTATGCAACTAGATTGATGCACTTGTACTTGGTCTGTAGCTATGCTGTGCGGTGCATGTGCATCACTGCATTGTGCATGGCTACATTTGTTTACTCCACATGCAGCGTACGTATGTACATAAAAACAAAATAAGCGTACAGAGATACAAACTTGTTTTATATTAAAAAAAGGTTACATCGTTTTACAGAATTTTTTTTCTTCCTTACACGTACTACACGAAAACCCAAAGAAATTGACATGTCAAACCCAAATAAACCCTTTTATTGTATCAAATGAAACAGGTGATTAAAGGTCGCACACACGCTAATTAACCTCCCGTTACCAAAGAGATCATCAAACCAGCAAAGCCTTGAAAAAACGAAACATTCGGAGTCGTCTAGACGCTCTACATTGATTAATTAAGCCGGACACTTGAAACCAGGTGGTGGAGTTTTTCCACAGTCGAGAAGAAGCTCAAGAGCAATAGGTAAAATGATGTCGAGGTTGAGAAGCTTGGCTTTAATGGTGGTGCATAGACAAACAGCTGCATCTAAATCAACTAAACCTCCCAAAACGGGACAACACTCTGCTTTGGCGTGGCTTTTACCAAGCCCAATGTGAATCAAACCACCAAGAACGTCCACACAAGCGCCTAGCTTTAGTGTGTCGATCGGGCAAGTCTCTGGTTTAGGCGGAGTTGGTGTTGGTGGTGTCACAACGGGTGGAGTTGGTGTTGGCGGTGTTATAACCGGTGGGGTTGGTGCTGGTGGCGTTATAACCGGTGGAGTTGGTGTTGGGGGTGTAACAACGGGAGGAGTTGGTGTTGGTGGTGGTGTCACCACAGGAGGAGGAGTTGGCGTTGGTGGTGTCACCACAGGAGGAGGAGTTGGTGTCGGCGGTGTTACAACGGGTGGAGTTGGTGTCGGCGGTGTAACAACGGGTGGAGTCGGCGGTGTAACAGCTGGTGGAGTTGGTGTTGGCGGTGGTTTAACGGGTGGAGTTGGCGTTGGCGGTGGTTTCACGGGTGTGGTTGGTGTTGGCGGCGGGCACACTTTTGGTGGAGGCTTGTGGGTGGGCGGTTTTGTGGGTGGCTTAACGGTGGGAGGTTTCGTTGGTGGCTTAACGGTGGGAGGTTTCGTTGGTGGTTTAACAGTCGGGGGTTTTGTTGGTGGTTTAACAGTAGGAGGTTTCGTTGGTGGTTTTACGGTGGGAGGTTTCGTTGGTGGCTTGACGGTGGGAGGTTTCGTAGGTGGTTTTACGGTGGGAGGTTTCGTTGGTGGCTTAACGGTGGGAGGTTTCGTAGGTGGTTTAACGGTTGGAGGTTTCGTAGGTGGTTTTACGGTGGGAGGTTTCGTTGGTGGTTTGACGGTGGGAGGTTTCGTTGGTGGTTTAACAGTGGGAGGTTTTGTAGGTGGTTTAGGTGGTTTGACGGGATGTTTTGGGGGTTTAGGAGGGCTGCAGTCGCAATTAGCATAGGAGACGGTGAGGAAGCCGAGGAGGAGGAGCAGAGTGAGAAATGAGAGGTTTTGTGTGCGAGACCCCATTTTTTAGAATGAGGTTTTGGGTTTCTGAAAAAGAGTGAGTAAAGTAGAGATGTGAGTGTGTACGCTTTTATAGAAAAAAAAACATTTTAAGATATTTCTTTACTTTGTACATTATTGTAATATTGTAAGCGAGTCCAAACTATGATTTAGATGATTGAGATTAGGCACTTAGTTAGAAAAAGAAACAAAAGTGCTTTCTCACACTTTCCTAAATTGGCGTATGCATGTAGTTTTACATTATCTTTCTAGGAAAAATTTGGAACAGCATTCGCTGCTTTAATAAAAACTCGTTTGTGGAAACCTATTTGTAGATTTCATTTTTTGGAGAAAAGGTTTGTTAGTTCTTATAAAAAGCATACGGAAAACAAAAACAAATACATTGGTAGTCTTTATTGATCAAGTAGTAATTGCCAAAGAAAAAAAAATCAAAACATTGTAAAAAAATTGAATAACTCAGACACTGCTCCACGCAAGGTTTATACAATATATATTTTTTTTTTTTTGTGGGATGAATTATACAAAATGTTTTGGTCTACATATCCATCTCGTCTATGTTTCTTTTTCATTTTTCTCTGTGCGGATCCATCCTAAGACTCGGCCAAATCTTGAAAATCTCAAGGTAACTCGTGTTTGGCGACCTCCTGGAATCCTGGATGACCTATCCATTCTTTCATGAAATTTACTTTTATTTCATCCATATTTCTTTGTACCTCGGAATTTCTATTTATTACAAAAAACTATATTTTAATGGAAAACGGTTTGAGTTTTCAATATGATAGTCAATGGTTCTGTCAATGTTTAAAGGATGATTACATGTTTCTTCCACTTTAATGACACAATGATATATAGTTTATTTCTATAATACTCAATTAAGGATGATTAGTTTAACTAATCAGAGTGAAATTTCTACTGCGCTAAACTTGAATTCGAATTCAAAATACTACGTAAAGGAAAAAAATTCACGATTTCTCCATGCACCTCAAATTTGTTTATTAAATTTGGTAAAATGTGCACCACAAATATTGTTGCAAGAAAAATGATTATTGTTCAAAAACCATATTAAATTTCTGGTCATTAAAAACCCTTCATAATAAACTTGGAAGTTATAATTATTTTGAATTTCTTGGACATGGACATGCTCATTTATGGTTAAGCGCCAATATATAACGTACGAGGGAACATGATAATGTTTAGAAAAACAAAACCACCACTCTAAGATAGATCGAATTGTCAGCACGCAGCAGCATAATATTCGCATAAGTATCCCGATATCCTCTTATATTCCTTTTTTTCCTTTTCCGAATACTATCAATTAATTATTTATCTAAGGATAAAAATATCCCCAGTGTGAATTTCATTATAGCAAACAACATTCATTGGTCAAAAATCAAAATGTACTTTTCTGTATATTTGTTATAGTCTATAATCAAAATCAAAATCAAAATCAAACATGTCTCAAGTATACACCGTATATTTGTTCTAAACGCTTGAAACAGAGAAATATGTCTCCCGACATGTTCAAGCTCTAGTCTGTTAACATTAGATAATGCCTAGTCTATAAGCGTTTAGTAGTCACTAAACTAAACCTAGGTTATATATTATTGGCATAATGTTTTTACAAGAACTTGGACATAGTCATATTTTGTGATTGTTGGGTGAAAACAGTGGGGACAACGGGTTTTGTAGTGTAATGCCCAGTGGGTAGACAATTTATGAAGGAGTTTTGTCATCATTATTTGACTTAATAGATACCACCATTCTCTTAGTTTTTATAGTGACAAAAAGATATAATGAAAGACATCCTTCTCACTCTTTATCTCTTGTTCCTTCCGTATTAGGTCCACTTTTTTTTTCCTAACAATAGGTCCACTTTTTATAAGGAGTTTAGGGCAATTTCTTTTGGGTGTTAGTTTATGTCTCTACCTATACAAATAGTAAAAAGAGAATCAGTTTTTATTTGAATCCCAAATCTATGCTATACATTATTCAGTTATGCACATATATCTAGCTAGGTCGGAAAAATCTTCAACCAAGTTCCAAGTTATTAAGTTTCGATCTGTTGGTTACTAGATAAATTAGACTACATGTTAAAAGTTTTCACTACTCGACGAAATAACTTCCCTAATAATTTCCCGATCCAAACTAGTCTCTTGGGGTTAAAGTATTAATAGTCATCTTACTTTTTCTCACACCAACATACATATGTATCTAGTTTCGGGTCTTAGCTTCCGATCAGTACATTTTTTACACAGCCAATATAGGCTTTGGAACAATAATTGTTATGTTCTGATCATGCATGTGTGCATGTGATTTTTCCGTCTCCCGCTTTTGAAAGATATTAGCTTATAGTGCCCCTTTTTATCCGGTCTTTTAAATGATTGAGTGACGTCCGTGATTGATGATTCTCGTCGTAGTTTTTTTTTGTTTGTTTTTTTTTTTGTTGTTGTTCATACTAGTGTTAATATATTATAGTATTATAATCCTAGTGGTGGTGCTCGTATTCAGCAATCAGCATAGGGCTTCAAATATAGTGTAACTAGGTCAACAACATCTACTAATTAATGCTAAATCTAGTATATGATTGGTAAAATCAAACGATAATTTTTTTTCTAATTAACACTTTCACTTTGAAATTACAGTACTAAATTTACTTTCTAAAAAAGGAGATAAATGTTTCTTTTGTCCGATTCTTTCCCGTATTATAGAGCTTTAATAAGTTTTTCTTTTTAATTGTCATTGATATTACTATTTAAATTTGATACATGTCATCGATTTATTGAACAATTTTTCTTACCATATTCGATATTTTTGAAAATTTGTGTTAACAATATGTCAATAAGGTGATTTTAGTGTATCACAAAGTAAAGTCTCATTTATTTTCAAGTTCAATTTTTAAAATACAGTATTATAATTTTGTGGATCCGCCGTAGAGTGTTGGGTTTCACTCGACTGTCCTTGTGATTCATTGACGGTGAAGAAAACAAAATAAAGTTATAGACGCCATTACAAGGTGGCGGGTAGGATTTGGCAGGTAGTAGAAACAGTGTAACCCGTGAAGTCTGTCACTTATAGGATTGAATTTTCTTTTTTAAAACGAAAAAAGAAGAAGAGAAAAATGGATAATGTGACGTTGTGAATGAATCTCATGCATGCATGTGACTCCACCATTATTTGGTTTTTATATAAAAAGGAGAAAAACTAATTGTCGTCTGAGTACTCATGAGTACTAGTCCAAAGGACACGTCGGTCCATTGGAACACCAGAAAACGATAATCCGCTTTGATATTTTATTTACACTTGCTGTGTGTTAGCGTTTTGAAAGTCTTACCAAAAATGAGTTATGGTTATAACATATGTTAAAATGTTTCATATCTTATTACTAAAATACTTATGTTAAGACATTTTTTCAATCATAAAAAAGTAAATCTTAATACGAGCAAAATAATCCAAACATGTGTATGAAGAAGTGAAAACGTAACTCTAAAACATTACGTACTTTGCAATAGAAAATTGAGATGATACTTAACAAAAATAATAATTTTAAAGTATTTTAATATATCTCAAACATTATGTTGTATCCAAAACTAGATTTAGTAGAACCAGCACAACTCATATCTAATCGACTGAACAAATGATTTTAAAAATTAGTTTGATTTTCTTTTTCCAAACTCGAGTCTCTAAAAATATATATGTTTTCAGTTTTAATTTTATAGAGAGGCCAGACAGTTACTTTGGTACATTTATCAGAGAGTAAAATATACATATCTAATTGTGAAGGTGTACAAAACTAGAAAAGTACATTTTTGTTCAATAAACTAGATACTACAATACTATTGATTTTCGAGATGTCTATTGTGCAAGACTCCCCAGATAATCAACTTTATAAAAAAGAATCATTTAGCACCACAAGACGCCAAAGAAGGTAACATAATCGTAATGTATATGGGTCATCAATATGGGTCATCAATCAGGGGTTTGATCGGTAATCCTTTATTATTAATTACTTTGGTATATACCATTTATATATCTAAACAGATTTTAACAAAAGCGAAAATGATGAACGATATTATAATTGCTAGAAGAGAAAAAAAAAGTAATTTGTTAAAGTTATTGCTATTTTTGTGATTCATAATTTAAACGGTGTATTTCTTACTAACGGATGGGATATTGCAAAAATAACAAGACATGGTTAAACATAGTAGCACAAAAGTAAAGAACTCTACTACTTTGTGACACGATTGTAAGTAAGAAAAAAATACTTATAATCGTGTGTCCTGTCAATGTTTCAACTTATCCTTTTATATCTTCTGCTATTTTTTGTCTGGATTTGAATTTTATTACAGGCTATGTTTAGCTAACTTTGATATAAAAGTTTCGTGTGTATGAACTGCCACATGTTTTAGAAATTTGCCAGCTATTTCGTTAATATATGTTCAGAACGAACAAAACATAATGATGTATTTTTCATATAATATACAGTGTTCGTTGACAATGAAATGCATATTTTTGAGGGGTTTGGATTTGGATTCGTCCCACATGAAGACACAGTTATCACTTTGCGTCGAATCAAATACGTCAAAATAATCTAGCCCACTAACAAGAAATGAAAAAAACTATAGCCCATTAATTTAATTTTGAACAATGATCGCTATTTCGTTCGACCAGCACAACAAACTCGGCCTGATTTCTATTTTGTCGAAAAGACTAGTCGAGAGATGGATGATGAAAGAATGAGTTCAAAGTTTGGATTATACGGAGATATGTAATATGTCGTCATTTCTTCTATTAACGAACTGTGAAACGTCATAAGTTAACTTCATACATTTGTCTTCTCCCAACAAGAATACATATCTTTTTCTTTTTACAAAACAAGAATACATGTTTTCATAATTAACCAACAATGGAACTAGAGTACTTAATCTTTAGAGATCTCCGATCGGAGGAAACTAATTACTTCCCAGTAATTTATAGCAAGAATGAATTATTTACAAACATGTTTT